TTTAGAGCTTTTCGACTTGTGGCTTTTCGACTTTTCGCGCGCAGTTTGGCATTCTCCACACTTCCGCGCCCACAGCCGTTCGCAAACACAGCTTGTACACGGACCTGTGAAAGTCGTGCCCGTTTTTGTGTATGTATAGCAGAGCATGCGGGGAAGCTTTCCGATAAGTCGTGCCCACAATGCTAAACGCCTAGTAAGTGCATGATTTTGCAAGCAAGCCGGTTCAGTACTGTTTAACATGTTGAAGGCATGTAAACACCAAGTAAGTGCAAGGTTCGGCAGTCGCCACCGGGACATAGTTCGAAGTGCATGTTTGTTGCGCTTACATGGTGAATTGCTATTCGGAGTGATTTGGCAACCGGCGAAAGGAACACATTTGCGAGTTACCGGTGCTGTCGAATCTATTGGCCGGATAAGGCGGGGAAGCATATTGCGGCGGCACCATGAAAACAAACCAAGAGCTCCTTCTATGCGGGGAAGTCTTTTGGTGGTGGCACCTGTCGACGACTGAAACCCACAAGACAATGCGGGAAAACATTTTGCCGTGGCACGGTTTCCAAGATGATGATCTGCGGTGTTTGTTTGCTGCAGGGCACAGGCCTGTCGTCCCAGGTCCTGTGTGCAGTTGGGGATTCCGCTAAACCGCATCAATCGGGATCCTCGGACATGTTTTTTTCTCCTGGATGCTCCACCCAGTGTGCAGCTGTTATTTGCGATTCCAACAGTACTGCTTGGTGCCTGCGAAAGTCGCAACAATCTCGCGTCACCTTGCGGAAACACACGGTCAAACCATACAACCCAATTCTTTGATGACGTCTTGCATGCTTTGTTTCGCAGCGTCAGTTTGCGGGAACACGTTGTCAAGCCATACAATCCACTTCTTTGATGACGTCTTGCATGCTTGTTTGCGCAGCATCACCATGCGGAAACGCATTGTCAAGCCTTGCAATCCAGTTCTTTGATGACGTCTTGCATGCTTGTTTGTGCAGCGTCACCTTGCAAAAAACATATTGTCAAGCCTTGCAATCCACTTCTTTGATGATGTCTTGCATGCTTGTTTGTGCAGCGTCACCTTGCGGAAACACAGTGTCAAGCCACACAATCCGCTATTAGCATCTATTAGCGGTAGGATCGGTAGGTTTAAGTCGTTCCTGCCGGGGCGAAGTCGTCCCAACTCCACGTGCCGCAGGGTTTGGGCTAATTTTCCATATCTTTGTTCCCTTCTCCAGTCCTTAGGTTCTACGCGATGCAGCACTGTGCGCGGTCTTTTCTTGAATTTGGATATGTTGTGATGGCACTTACGCTTCGAGGTGGTGGCGTGCGAAATCGAGCCTCTACACGCGAATGGCTGCGGGGATTCCACTGATATGTTTCTTGCGTAGGTACTTGCAAAATCGAGCGTCTACTTGGCAATTGGCTTGTTTTGATTTGGTGTCTGCTGCGATGCCACTGATGTCTTTCTGAGCGGCTGCTTGTGAAAGCGAGCGTCTACATGTGGACATGTGGATGGGCTGGTTTTGATTTGCTGCCGCCGATGTGTTTCTTGAGCGAGCGCTGGCGAAATCGAGCCGCTACATGGCGAAAGGTTGGTTTTGATTTTCTGTTTGCTGCGATTCCACTGATGTGTTTCGGCGTAGGCTTCCGTGTTTCAGTGGTGCGGAAGAGCAGGATTTTCTGCTTTCAGAAGCGACTTTCCTTTATCTTCTGCTGCTATCGAAAAGGGGTCTCGGTCACTCCGTTTGGTCGGGAATCAAGACATCTATCTCCCTTCAGCGCACTCTTGTGCTTAGCACCTGTCGTATCAGGTTTCGCAAGCCGGTTGGTATGGCTTAAGGTTTGGGCTGGTGGTTTGATGGTGTATGTGACAAGACAGTGGCTCGGCAGGAGCAGCTCCACATGCCGATGTAACTCCAAGCAGCTCACGGGCTCTTTCTCCCCCAACTCCACATGCGAAATCGGGCGTCCACATGGGGATTGGTTGGCTTGTGTGTGCTATGATGCCACTGATGTGATCGATGTATGTCTCGCGAGTATGCTTGTGACTTCGCGCGGGGACCAAGTCAGCTTCCGAAATCGTATGTAGATGCACTTGTACGCAATGGTTTGGTTGTTTCGTGCGGCACCACGCGTCGGCTCCATGCACTTGCGGCTTTAGCCATGCATCCTGCGAGGGGGACACGGGGACACCTTAAGACTTTAAGATGAATGCTCCGTTTCCTGCTTGCTGTGCGGAAACGCTTCCACATCGAGGTGGAACAGGACCTACGTGGGCCAAGGCCTTCAAATCACATGTGGAGGTATCGGTCGGGGTATCGGTTTCAATTAGAAAGGGGTATCGGTCAACCTGCATGCAATTTCCCGAAAAACAGCTCATGGAGAAGAAATACAACATTATATAGGGTTTGCAGCCTCTTGAAGATCTACACTCGATACGTGCGCTTGGGGTTCGGGCGGCAGCGGCTTGAAGATCTATGCTCGGTACGCGCGGGTTTGGGAGTGCACGGGAGGCCTTGGGACCTCCGTTCCCCACTTGTCCCCGGAAGTGTGCACTTGCGGAAGGGTGCAATCACGAACCGCAGCACGCAGGTATAACTGCATGCATATCAGGGTCCGTTCTTCACCTGCCCCGGCGGTGTGCACTTGCAGAAGGCTGCAAAAACGAACAGCAACACGCGGGCTTTCACATGAGTTCTTCACTCTTGGGGGACGGTGTGCGGGAGGTGTGCCCTTGCGGAAACGGCAAATGCAAGGACTTTGCAGCGACCCTAGTCGTGGCGTGTGTGCAGATGGGGGAAGCATCCAACATGCGAAATGCAAGGACAAAGGCGCGTAGGAGTAAGAACTCCTTCTATGCGGCACTATGCGGGGAAGCTTTTTGGTTGTGGCGCCTGTCGACGACTGAAACCCACAAGACAATGCGGGAAAACATTTTGCGGTGGCGCGTTGAACAAGCTTGCTTGAGCTTCCACTAAGGGGTCGCAAGTGCATTGTTTTCAAGCCATGTTTTCAACACGTTGGAAGCATGTAAACACCAAATAAGTGCAGGGTTTGGCAGTCGCCACAGGGAAAAAGCACTGCCGATGTGAGCGCTGCATGTTGATAGTTGACAATGTAAGACTCCAACAACCCTTTGATGCATGTGCTTACATTGGGGAAACTTCGGTGTTTGCCCGCTGTTTTGTACGTCACTCCTAAAACGATTTAAATCATCGCATATATGGGGAATCGCCTTCCGCGCTGATATTAACGCCGGTCTGGCTGTCATGGAAAATCATGGGAGTCTGGAACCGTAATGCAGGACAGTCCACAAAAAAGACATTGCCGATGCCGATGTGAGCACTGCACGCTTAAAATTGACAATGTAATACAATGTATGACTCCGACAACCCTTAGATGCATGCGCTTACATCGGGGAAGAGGCTTTCGGCCACTGTTTTTCGCGTCACTCCTGAAACCATTTGAATCAAGCGCTTACATGGGGAAAGGCCTTCGGTGCTGATATTACTGCAGGTCTGGGCATCATGGATGTCTGGAGCTGTACTGCAGGACTGTCTAGGCAAAAGGCACTGCCGATCTGAGCGCTGCACGTTTAGAATTGAGAATGTAAGACTCCAAAAACCCTTAGATGCATGCACTTACATCGCGGAAAAGGTTTTCGGCCATTGTTTTTCGCGTCACTCCTGCAACAACTTTAAATCAATCGCTTACATGGGGAATGGCTTTCCGTGCTGATACTACTGCAGGTCTGGGCATCATGGAAATCTGGAGCTGCGATGCGAGATTGTCTAGGCAAAATGCAATGCCGATGTGAGCGCCGCAAAAGTTGACAATGTAGGACTCCAACAACCCTTAGATGCATGCGCTTACATCGGGGAAAAGGTTTTCGGTCACTGTTTTTTGCGTCACTCCTGAAACCATTTGAATCAAGCGCTTACATGGGGAAAGGTCTCCGTGCTGATGTTAATGCAGGACTGGGCATCATGGAAATCTGGAGCCGTAATGCAGTATTGTCTAGGCAAAATGCACTCATGACGTGAGCGCTGCACGTTTAAAGTTGACCATGTATGACCCCGACAACCCTTTGATGCATGCGCTTAGATGGGGGAAAGGGTTCCGGGCGCGACTTGTCGTGACTTCTTGAATCATGCGCTTACATGGGGAAAGGCCACCCGGGCACGACCAAGGCATGACTTTCGCAGTTGCCTGTATCCCTTGCAGCACTTAGCTGGTGCAAACCTTGCGGCCGACACCGCCAACGTCGCTTCCCATGCTTCAGCCGCTGCTGGAGCTGCCCGCTTCCTGCGCTCGGAGCCCTGGCGCAACCCTCTTCCCTTACAAGGAGCGACTGGCGCCCCAAAACCCACAACCATAAGAACAGGAGGCAAAAAATAGAACACTGGATGGCAAACCTTAGGCGGCTACGCAGGCAGTAGCTTGTTCACCACAGTCTCCACATTCTGCAGCACTTCGAGGTTTGTCCTGTGTAATTGGTTGCTTGCACGAAGCAACGTCCTCGCGTTGACACGCGCGCACAGAGACGCCTCGCCTGCCCAAGCAAAGATGGGGCGTTCAAGAGAGATGTTGGTGGCGGGCATTCAACCCCCACAGCTCAGGAAATGAATCCAGACGAAATGAAAAGAGATGGTGAATGCCAAACCCAACACCGCTAACCCCGAAAACCTGATAAGAGATGGGTGGGTTGCAATCTCGAAGCCCCAAATCACCAAATGCGGTTCGCTGCGTCAAAATCGAAATTTGCCATCCCATGTCGACGATTCACCTCCGAGCGGATGGAGCCATTGGTGTAAATCACGCTTCCAAAATATGCCATCGCACTCTGTCAGCTTGATAACGAGCGAACTTTCCCAGCTTCCATTCTTTTCGGGATGCCTTGAAAGGTATCGTGGAGGTGTGGCAGGGAGTCATTTGTTAATTTTGGAAGGGTGCTGCAGTCCAGAACATAACATCCGCAGCGCGGGTTCCAGCAGCACGGCTTTTGCATGGCGCGCTGTGTGTTTGGAAAGGCGGCAGAGCATGCTATGGGTTGCATGTGTAGGGAGAACGTGCATGGCTCCAGACTGTCTCAGGCATGGATCGTCGCCGTCAAAGTGCTTCTGCTTGCCTCGGGCTTACACGTGATCCGGACAGTTCGTCGTGCACGTGTGACTAGCATCCCTTTGCGCAGCCTGGTTGCCAAGGAGCGGGTGCTTGCCAACCCAACTGGCGGCACGCACAGTTTGCGACATCATCGAACCTTGCCTCGTGTTTATCGATAGTCCTGGTAAGCATTCTTTTGCGTCTAGAACCCATGAAAGAACGCTGAGTTATGCTGCTTAGCACTGTGGCGCCTTGTGCCGGAAGCCTGTAGACCAAAAAAGGGGAGATGCATTTTGTGCGCATGTAGACCGCCGCAGACACGGGCTCTCGACAACCATTACATGGCTCTGAGATGAGTACTATGAGCAGTACTGGTATCGCTGGTTGGGACCTGGTTCACGGGCTTGTTGCGAGTTTCAACAGCCTGACGGCATGGCTCGAGGCAGCGAATGGAACACTGCTGAACCACGTGATGGCAGGGTTCACTGTGCCTTCGTGATCGTACTTCTTCTGTTCGTGCCGATACTGTTTTCGGTATTGTGGATGATCTGGTCATTGGCGGAGGTGGGGCCTGCTCGCAAAACCATGACACGTTTTTAATTCTTGGCTTGGGCGTGCCACTGTACCCTGCATTGACTGCGCTTCTCCTGGCCTTGATCTGGTTGGCGATCGGATGCGTGGTGCTGATTTTATCCAGCTTCGCGCCAGCAGCACTAGCTTATATCTTCTTGGAGGGCTTTGCAAGTTCACAGGCGACGCTGTCTCGGAGCAGATCACACGAGGGCGCTGCATGCAACGTCGTGGCCAAGTAGTTGAGGATATGACATGCTGGGAACTTGCTTGTGGCTTGTTGATTGGCTTCCTGAGCTTGTGCAGCTTTGGCATGTTGTCACTTGTGCTCACAATCCTCAAAGCTCCTCTGGTGATCCTTTCATTTGTCATGCGCTTCGTGTACGCTTCGTTCTGTCGCTAGTTGGTGCTGGTCCATTGCCGTTGGCGGCCCTGGTGCCTGACGTGCACGAAATCTCACTTGGTTCAAGTTGGGCTTGAGTTTCGAACCTTGTAGGACTTGACGTGGGAGGGCTACATTTCGGCACTGGATTTGAAGGACCTTGGCGTCAGTCTTGACGATTTGTATGCTGCGGGATTTTCGATTTGGGATCTGCTGGAAAATGCCGAGTTCAACGAGCGCTCGTTCGATCATGAAGGTCTAAGCGTCCGTGGGTTTTCACGGCATCGGTGGAAAGTGCTGGTGGTGCTTGTTTCCGCTGGCGCTACTGGCTTGGTTGACTGCCCTGCCATGCTTTGTGGGTGCACTGATCTTGCTCATCGTTCTGTCATCCTTGGCAAAGCTCATTCTGGCTGTCATTTGGCCAGCTTATGTCGCAGCTGGGTCGCTGCGAGTGTTGTCGCAGGCACGGCAGCGGCCCAGTGCCAGAAGCTCTTGTGCACCACTGCTGCAAGGCCTGAAGGCTGGTTATCAAGTCGTGTGGGCCAGTGCGGTGCTGACACAAATTTGTATTCTCAGCCGAAGCATGTCTGCAACGTATGAGATGGTGATCCAGGCAGTGAACAAAGCGGAGGAACTTGCACTCTTTATTGGCTTTGTCAACTCTTGGCACTTGCGCCTCCGAGCCCTGGCAAAACGCCTGCGTGTATCCGAAAACACTGTCCAGGAAGCTTGGCGAGGTTTGGCTTGTCAAACGCTTCGCATAGGCCGGCTGGCCGTGGAAGAAAGGCTCCTGACACAAGAGTGGGTGGATGAGGTTCCTCGCGAGCTTTGCATTGGTCTTCCAGCACGGGCCCTTTTGGATGCCGTTGAACGCTCCCCCAACAATGAGCTTCTCCTGATATCTGGCTTATCCATAAAGGCAGAAGATGTCTGGTCTTGGCAGATTTGCAGAGCAGGTTGGGGACTTCTTTCGTAAGGCCCAGGCTGCTCGGAACGCTGCACACATTGGTCCGTTTCAGAAATAGATTCCGACGAGATCGACCAGTATATTTTCGAACCCGCCACACAACGGAAGATGTTTCGGATGCTGACGCAGAATGGTCGGAGGAGGGCAGTCTGACGTCGTCTTCGAACGAGGGGAGCAAAGATTGTCTAGCAGAGGTCCGCCAGGTAGAGTACGTACAGTGAGCACAGTGTGGGGACGCGTTTTCACTATCAGCCAGCTAACTTCGTGCTTGGAATACTCACGCCTCTGGCGTCTGTCGGCTGGCCGTTTCTGCCGGTCAAGGTCTGCAACACCGAGTCAGGCAAGCACGGAGAATCGAGAGAGTGCTGGTTTCTGACAGATTTCATCCTTGCCAAAGTGCTCTAAAGATTCTTCGTATACATTTGCTAAGGATTTGATGCTTCCCAGAACGAGACGGTCCTCTTGGATGAAGCGAGCATTGCAAAATGCGCGCAGGCCTATGTTGAGGACGCAGAATATCGTACGGCGTGCAGTGTGCCATGCACTTGTAGCTGATTTTGTGGCAGCACGAAATGCAGGACTGTGGAGCTGGTGGAGAGTGTTGCGATCCTGGCATGCTCGGCGCCCAGCCGAGCATGCCGTGCTGAAGCTGGCTGCGCATGCGATTATCGCTCATGATGTTTTGGGAGGACGTGCTACGAGAAGCATGCGAAGTGGGCAGCCTGCTTGTTTACGCCTCAGCTGGCTTCGAAAGTTCCCCAAGCATCTTGGATGTAGTCGCCGAGCGCTGTAGATGCTTTGAGGGTCAGCGGTACGAGCACGGGATAGCACGGGAGAAGTGTGTCAGAATGGCCTAATCGGTCATGTTGTTGCTTACTTCACTTGCACATGTGATGCACTCATGGCCAAGTGTTGAAGAGCTTATGCAAGTCCCCAAAGTGCACGCTACCAGAAGCTCAGGCCCAGTTGTACACCAGGCTTTCAGCCCTGGGTTGACTGGTTCTGGTCCTGTCCTCAATGCAGAAGACGGCAGAGGAGTTTTGTCATGAGTCCCTGAATCGTTTCGTCAAGCCAGGCACTGGACGCCGTGGACATGCATGCCCATCGTAGATGCGATCGGACGTGACGAGCTGGGAATAGAGCCCTCTACTCAGCGGCTTTGCATGTCTCCCGGGTGGGCTGACCGGCCCAGACTTGGGAATCATCGGTTCATCTCTTTAAGACGTTCTGGCCTGGGTTCGTTCAAAAGTTGTTGGGTGGTCTGGTACCCATAAACCGAGTTGCGCGCCCTCAACTCACTAAACCTTTCAACCCAAACTGAGGAAAGGGTGCGTAGCATGGTCATGTAACAACGACAATGTGAAGCGCAAGGCCCGCATTCACAGGCTGCGACTTGGGCCAAACCGGTTTGGCTCAACACCGTCACTGTGGCCCTCACGGATGTGTTCTCCAAGCATGAATGCTGCCTATTGAAGCTCAAGTCAAGACAAGCCAATGAGGCAAAGGCAAGGCAAACCCAAGGCAGTCATGCCTGCAAGACGCAGGACAAAGTACGCCAATCGCAGCTATACCGTCCACAGAGAGAGATAGAGAGAGAGAGAGAGAGAGTCCCATGGAGTTTTTATCTTTTCTCACCGCCCGAAATTCCCCGGTGCGCGAAATCGCGCGGGGGGGAGGGTGCTCGTGCGTCCGACCCTCCTGGCCGAGCTGAAGAAGAGAGAGAGAGGGAGAGGGAGAAGCCGTTTGAGTGGATGACCGACATGAGCCGGGGGTGTGGGTGGTGTGGTTGCAAACCGCGAGTACGGTAACCTCGGAAAAGTACGGCAACCGCTGCCCTACTTGCGGAACCTCGGCGAGTTTAACCCTCTACCCGAGCTGATTTGGCGAGCCTACGCTGGGGATACCTGACCGTCTCGATCCGCCGCACCGTCAACCTCGAACGTGGACTAAGTGTACTGCCTGACTGAGTAATTGAGTTATTAATTGGCAAGGACGGTGACTTAGTGACCTTTGCCTTTGTGCGCGGGGGGGCGGAGCTCATTCGGGGAGTTCGCCCGCACGACGACGTCAGTTGGAGCGCGGCTCAGCGCATACAACTATCTTGGACAGCAAGGTCCCAGACGACCCTTTACTTGAGTCCCTTCAGGACATATTGGGCCACCTGTCGACAGGTACAACCAAGAAGGAGACGCCGGCAGGGCTCACACAGACAAGCAGCCCGGCAAACCCACAGCGGTTCGAGAGGTGGCCTTCAGCTTTGGCCGTGCCGATGGAGAACGTCGACATGTGTGAACCTCCTAAACTTACGGCTAGTCAGCTACCTCTGCCGACCAGTCAAAGCACTCGGAACCCCAAGACCTCATCTGGCTTGCCGAGTTGCGAGAGCGTAAACTTACGGCTAGACGAAAGCAGCGACCACAACAGTTGTACCAAACCGGGGAAGTTTCCCGAGAGACCGCAGATGAGACTGATGACAGTGCCTGGAGAAGGTGCAGGGAACGATGCAAAACAGAATACGGAAGTAGGAAGCAGACCGACGTCGTGATGCAAAGAACAAGAACTGAGGGGCCGCAAGCAACGGGGGAAACACCCCAGGATTTTCACTTTTTGGGCGGATGTGCAAGTACATTCTTTCCCACTACTCAGCTTGTTTTCCTTTCTGTGAAATGCACTTTAACGTTCCGCTGGAGCCTTCGTGAACCTCCATCTCGCCGTTTCCTTGCATTTGCAAGGTTCCAACTTCTTCCATAAGTAGCCGCTGTGCCTCTTCTTTGCCCCGAGGGATGCTTTGCTCCCATGTGCACGAGGTGGGGGGAGCAATCCCTACACCAAAAAATTCACCGTGCTGCCCAAACAGTGCGGGGGGTGCAAACGCGCCGGGGTGGGGGTAACTCCCTCTCCTTGGACCCTTCGGAGAGAGAGAGAGAGAGAGGGGTAAAACCCCAACATCATAACCCTGGCGAAAGAAAGAGGGAGCGAGCCAGCGAGCGAGAGAGAGGGGAGTTCGGGCTCGGGGACTGCCCCCAGCTCTACACCCTCGCAAATCCACGCAAAGCAGAGAGAGAGAAACTAGCTTGTAGTTACTTGAAGGCACCGCCAATAGACGGGCGTGCCTAGGCCCAGTGATAGATAGAGATAGAGAGAGGGAGAGAGAGAGAGAGAGAGAGAGAGAGAGAGAGAGAGAGAGGCGAACCCCCGCCCCAGCCATGGCGAAAGAAAGAGGACAAGCACGAGATCGCAAAGATGAGCACACCAGGGACGGTTGCCCGAATCACCAATGCACATGTAGTGCCCAGTCGCTGCAGACCTCACAAGAGCGGCATGAGTGGGCCATTTTCGCAGAACCTGTTCCGGTTTGCCAGCGCAAGCTGGAGCACTAGTTGATTTTGCGGATGCTTTGGTTCCCCTCAGTGGGTTTTATCCCGTGGTGTGTGTGTGTGTGTGCGGGTGTGCGTGTGTGTGCTTCGCAGGTTTCATCATAGTGATGCCACGCCGCTCCGTGCCTCCGCTGGCCCGTCCGGACCTTATCTTTCGAAATTTTAAGCAACCCAAGCCTGCAAAAATCGTATCTGCAAGCTTGACTCTGTAGCTTTTCCGTGAGGCTGGTGTGGTAGTGGAGGTTTCTTGTCTGTGTGCAGCGAAAGTGAGGGCAGAAGTATGTGCCTGACATATGTCGGCACAGTCTGATGCTCGAGGGGCGGCTCACTGTTTCATGAGGGGCCTGCGTTCGTGCCCAGGCATCGCTACCAGGTCTTTATGTCGGGCCCTCATTGTCGAACTCGCACTCCCAGAGTACAGAGTTTGACACAAACGCATCTCGCAGGAACAAGTCCAGCGAAACGGGCTCCCCGATATACGATGGTACCGAGCAAACGTGTGCCTGTCCAGTTGACCAGGTCTTAATCGGCTGACCCGTGCTGACTCAAGAGCACAGGTTCAGGCAATTCCTAGAGTGTATCGCGAAGCTCGACTTTCGCAAGAGACCTACATGCGGGACACGTCGGAGAGAATGCTCAGGCTCAGCATGTTTGGGGTTGCGACGGGAATCGCGCAATCCTGCTTCAAGTGTGTAGCGTATTCTGACTTTGCTACTGCTTGCCTGGGGTAGACCTTTTCCTGCAGAGCTCAGTCCTGTAAATCTGTGCCAGGCGCCTGACCTTCGTCAAGTCTGCAGATTCCTCAGGAGAGTGAGTTCAGGGAGCACACAGTTGGGGTTTGAAGGGCAAGCAGGGAGGCCTCGAGGTTTGACATAGTGTAGCTGCGTAGCTGCCACAGCGGAACGTGGATTGAGTGCTCAAGCCCTCGCTTTGTCGCTACGAGGTGGAGGTTGCTGTGCAAGGTTGGACCCTTCTAACTTCAAAGTTTACATGTAGACCTCGCATGTTGCAGATCACTGAGTTGCAAACGGTCCGATGGTTGCGGGAACGAGTTGCAGCTGCTGAGCTGCTAAGTTCCATGTCATAAAAAGCATGCTTTATGTTCACCATTGCGTGCTGCAGTGTTTCCAGAACTTGCAGGGTCTTAGTTTAGGAAGACATGGGCTGCTACTCATCCGTGCCGGTCGCGCCGGTCGCTCTGCATACGGCTTCTTCTGCACATTCTTCTTTCACGAGACCGCCGGATGCCGTCGGCACGTTCCTGCGAATGATCATGATCAATGATGTTTACATTCTGGACAACTACCCGAAACTGGCAGCTGCTGTTGTCATGGCTCGAAAGCTAAGCGAGTCGCAGAACTGCGTGGTGACCTCGCACTTGAACGGTGATTTCCTGTCGCCTTGCATCCATACGGCCCTGGACGGTGGAACAACTATGATGCAAGCTTTGAATTACGCGAAACTGGATTATGCCTGCTTAGGCAATCACGAGTTCGATATGAACAAAAAGCAGCTCCAAGTTCGCTTGCCGATTTTCACAGGCCAGGCTTCTTGTGTGACTCGCGAACAGCTTTAGATTCTTTCGTAGCATCCAGAAGAAGTGACTCGCTGCCAGGCAAGCTGATCAACAGCAATGGGGAGGACCCTGAGTTGAGCAGCCTCCCGAAGTTTGATGTGATCAAAGTCGGTGACAAGAATGTCCTCTTCACTGGATTGTGCACCCAAGATACTTCCATCTACTCTGCGAAGGGCTGCCCTGTCATGCGACCATTCCTGGAGTCTTGCACGACGGCATGGCATGAGGCGTCGAAGAAGCAGGCACTTGACATTATGGTGCCCATGACACACCAGCTAATCGCCGAAGACCGCGCCCTGGCACTGGACTTCCAGAAAGATGACGTTTTTCAAGGCAAAGTCTGACCCTGAGACAGAGCTGAGTTAGCTGAGATCGTTTCGGCCGTCGGGTGTGTCGGGCTACCAAGCTGTGCTGAGGTCCCTGTGATCCTCGGGGGCCACGAGCATGAAGTCTTCGAGGAGTTTAGTGGGGACTCCTTGATTCTGAAGGTTGGTCAAGATGCTGTGAACCTTGGTATCATCGATGTTTGGTGGACGGAATCTGGCGAGGCCCGTCACGTAATACCTCGTTGACACAACGCATCGCAGACATGCGCACTTTTTGTCATGTAGCCTCGGTTGTGAGGTCAAGCGCCGGCATTGCATGGTGCCGGCTGCAGCCTTCGACGCCGAAGAGAAGGCAGCAGCTTGGACGAAGGAGCGCAAGGACTTCGTGGTCAAAGCCATGGAGGCCTGCGCGAAAGAGTATGCGGTATGTGGACAGCGTCGTAATGCAGAATTGCGGGCGACTGTGCGAATAAGCGCTGCTTGCAAGAAGTGCAGACCAGGCGGCTATCACGGACTTGCCCTGCGAGATGTCCAGCCTCAATGTGCGATACGAGCCGTCCAACTTGGCGTCGTTTCTTCTTCAGAAGTTCAAGCGCGGTAGCTTGCCAACATCAGCAGGTCGGGAATGGCTGCTCCCATTAAACGGTTGGCTCGTGTCGGGGGCTGTGCGAGACTCAGGCTTACATCAGCACGAGGTAGAGGTTGTGGCCATGAATGGTGGGGGGATGCGTGGGAAGCAGTGCTACAAGCCTGGCAACTTCACCTTGGGGGACCTGTACAAAGAGTTGGCCTTCGACGAAGTGTCTCGGCTTAGATTGGACTCTTATGGCAAGCTCTTTTGTCGCGAATGAGCCATGAAACCAGTAGAACTGCCAACTGAGCCATTCGCTGTGGTGACGATGACGGGCTCCATTTTGGCAGAAGCCGTGAAACAATCCCGTGCTGGTACCCTCGAGCGGCCGGGGTTCCTCCACTTGGATGATGGATGCTACGTCGATGCCGACCATCAGCTCACGATGGTCAATCAGCAGCCTTTCGTTGATGAGCAGGAGTACAAGGCAAGAGCCGGTTCTTGGCATCCCGCCCATGATGTCACGAAACAGAGACAAGAGTGCCAGGTTTGTTGTCCCAGAGCTCTTCTGAGTGGAATGAACAGCATCCAGCCACTCATCGATTTCGGCACGGAGAAAGGCATCCCTGACGAGGCACCCTGACTAGTTGACTAAGTGCTCCGGTGACGACCCTAGTCTCGTCACGGACAGCTGATTGGTGTAGCGCAACTTGGCAAGTGTTTATTTTACCTGAGGAAAGTAGCGTTCTGGCAAAGCCGATCATCGTGGAGGTGGGCAAGCGATATCCAGATGCACTCAACCGTAGAGCACCGGTCTGCCCCAAACAGCTTTGGGATGCTCGCGGGGACTAGTTCCGGCGGGGATTAGTGTTCTGGATGAGGTCTGCATGAAGGACTTGTGGAGGCAGCTGCTGGGATATTCCGCATGGGGCATGCAGCTCGACTGCATGGACCCTGTATCGCTAGAAATGGCAATGATGTTTGTCGCGCAGATGCATTTTTGGGAAAGAATGCAGTGAGAAATCAAGGCCGCACGAGGATGCCATTGACTCGATGGGGCTCAAGGATGGGCTGTTCAAAGCGTTCGCTGACCTCGACAAAGATCGAAGCCTCTCGGACAAGAGGTTTTCTGGTTTTCGTCGTACGGCATTGTGGGCCTTTGCTGTTTCGATCTCCACCCGGCGGCCCGGAGTGTGCGGAAACCATCGGCTCCACGGCCGCTTAATCCCAACCGTTGCAAGCATGTGCTCGGAGCAGTGCAGACAGCATCCGAGCAGTGCATGTCCAACCTTGCAAGTGGGAGACCATTGCGCATACTGATGGAAGCGGGTGCTCAGGCGGATTGGCAGATTCCACGGAGATCGAGACATTTCTGAAGACACAGATGCCAGAGCATGCTTCCGGATCTTTAGCACATGAGCTGCACCTTTGACAGCAGAGGGAAGTGGAGTACGCAAGGTGGGTCTTTGAGGTGAAGTTTCTTCAGAGCTTGTACTTTGCAATGTCGACGCAATACCAATATCCGAGGCTGAAAGCCGTTGACAAGGACGGCAATGGCAAGGTTCACTGCCGGGTTTGATGCCCTGTGGCCCTATGGCTTTATGTTTGCACACAGTGTCGAATCCAGGTGCAAATTGAGGAGCTAGCCAGCTTCCTACACTGAGTGCCGCAGGACCTTGGCCTTAGCTGAGCTTTCACGCTGATGCTCTTTGTGGCGCCGAGGGATCTTGTGCGTGTCGGATCTCGCACACTGGACAGGTTGGTTCCAGAAGATGGGTTTACCAACTTGACGACGTCGTGATGCTGCAACTTTGAGACCTCTCGGTCTTCAGTGCTGAAGCCGGGAGGAATACTGAGATGGGCTTTGTCGGACATGGGCCGTATGATTGCCCCGGGGTGCCCAACACAACACCTATTAGGATTTTCCATACTGGTCTATGGGACGAGCAGTGGCTCCACTTTTGTCATCGGTACACACCCGCGTACCGAGCAGATGCACGAGAAACATGCCGCCGAAGACTTTGCTCGATTGGGCGAGGCCGTAGTCTTGCACAGACTCGCAAGGCATCACGCGCGTGTGCTCGTGCGTGTGCCCTGAACTCTGGCAAGTAAACATGTGCTATCCTTGCCAGAAGGGGCAGAGGGGGCGGGGTGGTGGAGGGGAAGGTGGCTGACGGCATCATTGCTGTCAATTGTGCTTCAAATATGTTCCCATTCGTGTGTATGGTTATCTAAGCCGGTTCGTCGAAGAAGCAACACAGAGTCCAGCCGAAACCAACTAATGCCGTCCAAATGCTAGCCCTGCCACCCGACCGCAGACCAGAGTAATCAAAACTTTGACATATCCATCGTTTTCATGTATGTGTGTATACGCTGTCTTCAACAGACGGGCTGCCGCTTCTTGTTGGGGTTCACCTTCGAAGCAACTCTCGTTAGTCTCAGCAGCCTCCTTTCTTCCTTAAGCCCATAGGTCCCTTCGTCGAAGGCGTCGGACTTCAGAGCTTACTAGCATTGCCAGCATCCGGAGAGCAGGGCAAATGGCGAGTATGGTGCTGTTTGCTTGCAACACCCGGCCTCAAAATTCCCTTAATCCTGAATGGCGACGTACCAAGTCATCGGTGCCTTCAAGCATTTTTAGTTTGCAATTTTGCTGATTTGTCTCGGCATGTCGTAATGTCGGGGAAGTTTTGCTCCCAGCTTGCGCTGGCAGAGCTCCTGAATACCGGATTCATCCGTGGGGGTTTGTGATTTCCAGTGGCATCGACATCAGTTTGCAAGCCGATATCACCGCCTGATGTGGCCTTTCCGGCCAGTGCCAGTTATTGCTGATTCTTCAAATCGCTTATCAAACACCCTCCATCACTGCGGTTTTGCCGAGCCGAAATCGCGGGCTGTTGTCGTCGGAGGTTGGGGAGGGCTTCAGATAATGAAAACGTGATATATCCCATGAAAGAAAGTGTTTCAATCCAGCACACATCAGCGAAATTGGAAAGCCCTCGGGTTTCAACGGTGTCCCGTTCCACAACATTGCAACATGCCTGCAAAGATGGTGCCCGACAGACATCTCAGTCATTTTTAGCGTTGCATTCGTGCTAGCAATCCTACTATATATAAGATTTGCGCATGGTGGAAGTGCATGCCGAATGGCCGATGCACTGATCAGGAGCGCAGGTTCGTGAAGTGGGCACTGGAGCAGTCTATAGGTTAGTTACTTTGTTAGTCAGGCAAGCAGCACAGCCAAGACTGCATTGTAGTCGAGTGTTCCAGGAGACAGCTGCTTTTGCTTGTATACTGGGACTGCAGTGGAATGTCAGTGTCCCTTCCGACTGCGAGTGCATGACACTGCAGGGGCGTGAGGCTCCTTCCGACTGCAAAAGCAGAGGGGAAAACCGAGTGGGGTAGTCTGTTTGGGGAGTCTACTTGCACCACCATGCTCTTATGCACTGGCAGATCATCAAACCTCGTACCTCTGAGGCCAACGAGTGCAAAGCACTTTGCGACAACGACAGGAGGTGCCGGGACAGAGCCTTCCAAGTTAAATCCAGCCAAAGTTATCCGAGTTTTTCAGCATCAGACATACTTCCGATCCAGGTTGGTCCTGCCTTTTGTGGCAATGCATGCTGGAAAGACTGCAAACCCCCTTGAGCATGGACGACCTTCTTGTTCGAATGGTGTTCAGGCAAGTCAACGTAGTATTCGTCCCAGAGACCCGTCGCAGATGCGATGGCACGGAGAGGATGGCTTCCCTTTCTTGGATGTCCTGTGGTGATTCTAACTTTCGGCTTTGGCACAAGTGAGGCTTTGTTGCTGCCGCAGCTTGAGAGAAAGCTTGCAGAGGAGGCGAAACGGCTCAGCAGGATGGATCCCCAGCAAGACGAGGCTCTACGAAGATGGTCAGATGCTGTGGAAGCTTCGCGCTGCTCGATGCTGTTGCGGTCACGCTTGAGCAGTGGGCCAGTTGTGGACCTTGGTGGTGCATCCATGATTACCGGTTGGCTGCTTCGAGAGCGCAAAGTTGTGATCTCCTTCGGAGGATCCGGAGGCTCAAAAAGCCGTTTGGAAGGACTGCCAGGCGTCGTCGAGGTCGATGTTGGGGTGCAGTTGGAAGCTTTGATAGGCATTTTGCATCAGCTCCGGCTTGAGCCAACTCTGTTCTTGCAATCCACCCTCCTCTTGGGCCAAGAGGGGGTAGCTCGGCGAGGTGACATCGAAAGCCTTTCATCGCTGCGATTGCAGTTTCCCCACATGCCGGTCCTCGGCTCCCTTCTGACCGATCAAGGCCAGGAAGTGCCCCATTGGATCCTCCCCTCCTTTCTTGCGCCGTTGTTGGGATCTTCGAACAACATGATGGTCGAACTTCCTTGCTGGGCGGCAGGGGGATGCGGCCAGAAAGCGCGACCACTGCTTGCCCTCGTCATGATCGTCAAAAATGAAGCCCGGCGAATTCGCGAGACTATTGAATCTGCTGTAGGAGCTATAGACTCCGCCGTTATACTGGACACTGGATCGACTGACTCCACGCAGCAGATCTTGAGGGCGGCATCGGACACTGCCTCACTCCCTCTCGAGATATATGAGGAACCCTTTATCGACTTTGCCACAACGCGTAATCGTGTCCTCCAGCTGGCTGGCAACAGAACTGAATTCGTTCTGATGCTGAGTGGTGATGAAACCGTCAGAAACCCTGGTGAGCTTCGCACATTTGTTAGGCAGCGCTCCGGCTACTGTGGCGGCACTGAGGATGTATTTAATCTTCGAGTGTTCATGGGACCGAAGGCATGGTACTGGTCGGAGAGATTGTTGCGAGCGGATAACCATGCTAAGCCTGGTTGGCCGCTTGCAGACAATTCGACATGGCGCTACGTAGGAGTGACGCATGAGGCATACATCAACCCAATGAGAACTCTTAGCAACGATCTTTTCATAAATTATGTTGGAGACACGGACAAAGCACTGCTGCCGCCACTTCGCGGAGAGGCGGCTGGGAGCTTTTGGATTTCACACGATGTGCAGAAGACCTCTGAAGAGTCGCATGGGCGCCTTCGTCAGGACGTTCAGTTGCTGGAGGGTTTCCTGAATCAACGGGATGCGCATTCTGACCGCTGGCAATACACGAGGGCAATCTTCTACCTAGCTCAATCCCACCGCTCCCTGAGTAACTTCGACGTTGCCAAAGACCTTTGGGAGCGATACCTGGCTTCTGATCTTGCACTGTGGCGACAGTTTTCCTACCTTCGTTATGGTGCGCATGTTGGACTGGGGCAGATATGTGCTGAAGCTGGCTATTTGTTCGGAGAAGCAAGCAAGTGCAGACATCATTTCCTAGAAGCTCACCGCTTGTGTCCTCGGGCAGAGCCACTGGTCTACTTGGCTTCTATGCTACCACAAGGCAGTGAGGAGCGAATGGAGGTGCTGCGGAAGGCGGAAAGCGTCATGCATCTGGAAGCGTCCACTGGACACTGCGCAGTGTATGCCGAGCCTGCACTGTACCTGCAGATTCGCCCGATGATCTCAAAGGAACAAGCACTAGTAGCAAAAGTGGAGCTGCCACCACACGTTACGCGAAAGTACACCCCTCCCACTCATGGGTTGTTTCGCCAGGCTGTAGTTTTTGGGCCCATCTCGAGTATGTTACCAGATGGCCGAGCGACTCCAAGCTCGGCAGGGTAGAGAGAGGATTGGCACCATGCTCATGAGACGTCGGTCTGAGGATGATGCCATGCATATGTACATGGTTGAGATGTACTGCATGTACGCGTGGGAGAGAGACTGTGTACAACGTAGAGCCACACTTCTTTTCGGCTTGAGCCTAGTGGAGTCATACGAAGTAAGCGGCAAGTGTGTAGGGGCCTCCACAGCATTCTACTTGCTTACAGTGGATGTGATGGGCAGTCTTTGAACATGGACTGCTGCGCGCTGTTTTCATGAACGGGTGCTGTAGTTTTTGTTTTCCACCGTTCATTTTTCCCAAGTTGTGGCAGAAACCCCTGATATCAGGTGCGATTGTTTTATGCCTGGTGCTTGGACTTGCGGATTTTGCACCGGAGCACAAGCCGCTGAGTCTCTGAGTCAGACATTTTCTGCTGTACTCGGCCGCTTGCCACGGCAAATCCCTAAGGTATTCGAATTCGACGCAACACTGCGACAAACGTCGTGTCCCTGGCCTCCTGTCGACTAGTTCAGCAAGCTCAATCGATGCAGCAGTCGGAAGTGCGGGGTGAGCCCTCAGGCCGCGCGTGTGCGCCAACAGTGCATGACCTGAAGGACCGGCATGCGTCTCGGTTTAGTTCAATGTGTTGAGAGAACATTTGTTGTTAGTTCTGGCCCTGGTTGCGAGCTGCAAATGACTGGATGTCAAGGCGTGCGCTGAGTTCGGATGTCGCAGCTTTTGTTTGGCAGGATGCTGTCGGCAAGAGTTTCTACCTCAAGGAACCGTATGAGGAGGAGCCGACTTGCGGGCATGACCATCGATTGGTAGCATTGGCATGTTCGCTCTGCAGCCTCTCAGTCCTGGGGCTCATCATCGGGCTTGACTACACAGGCGATTTTCAAGGCCAGTTACAGCTGTCAGGAGACTTCTTCTTCCGTCTCCTGGAAAGAGTTTCCGCACTCGAACCTGTTCTACTCGCGAAGCCGACATGTTTGTCTCCACATTCAATCCCATAGCAGGGGGTCTGTCGTTTGGGGTTGCTGACTCATTCTTCGGCAAATCAAGCTTCCGTACAAGAGAGCGACATGCGCTTGACGAGGTGGTGGGGGGGCGGGAAGGGCCCTAGAGCTTAAAACAAGGGTTTGAAAAGGTTGGTGTCGTGCTTTGCAAGCCGTACTTGCCGCAAGTTTTTCTGTCGCTTGTGCCTTCAGTTCCTGGCAGGACTGGCCTGCGGATAGATGACGAGGACTGTCTGAAACAAGTGCTCTATGGCGAAGCACACACGTGGCCATGTGTTCCGACAATTCTTTGGTTTTCCTGCACAGCTGTGCGGAACCAGAGTGTTGGTGCTGGTATTGTGCGCTCAATGTCTTCTGGCGTGAAGTCGTGCCGCCAGCTGCAACCTGCCCCTCCATGCGTATCTACCTCCTGTTTAATCCGCTCCCGCGTATTTCTGCACCAGGTGATGTTTCCAATCCCAGTCACCTTCAAAGACTGACTAGCTCGTTTCGCAGGTTCTCACAGTTTTTTGTAGGCAACGTTTCAATTGGGAGGACTATGGTGCGTCGACTATGAAGTCCTGCAAGCGCCGCTGTGAAATCAGCAAGCGTGGTGCCGAATGTGGGATGGAGTTTCGCGGCAGCTCCGTTGGAAGTACAGGCCGTAGGACCCGACTAGTCTCGCTCCAAAGTAAAGCCCTCGCGAATCCTGGGCCACTACATGAATTGTTGAGGCCGCGGGCAGGCTATGTAATTCAGTTGCATCGTCAACTATGAGGTCCTGCCAATGCTTGAGATACTCTAAGGCAGGAGCCCCAGAGAGAAATGTGTTTCTTTGTGGATCTAAATCGCAGGGCTTGCAGCTGGAAGCGTCAACTGCCCAAGTCTCCCTCACGTCTCAGCAACCGCGCCTGCAAGCATTAGGGAAAGAAGCCGGCTGAGGTTTTTGCCAGGTGTGAACGATATACAGACTGCAGCTTTACGGATTTGGCCAGAAGCTTATGACTCGGGAAAGCACCTTCACGGCGGGCTCGCACAACTGCCGTTCGCAGTGCTTTGAAATATGTCTACAGCAGGGATGCGGCATCATGCCCGTTGAGACTCCTTTCGTCCTCCTGCATCCTTCTTCGACCTCTGCTGTCCTCAGATCGAAGATGAGCTTTACGATGTCTTGGCCCAAGCTTGACGGTGCATGTGACGAGATGCTGCTATGACTGTCGGTTGTCATACAAGTATGTGCCAACTGGCTCGTCAGGTGTACATCAAGGAGTCGCCGACGCTTCAGGACTTCTTGAGCCGAGACCAGCTCTTGGGCCCAGACAAGCCCATTTCTTTGAACAGTGCCTCGTCTTGCCATCAGGAGCCCCAAGACATAGCCTGGTGGTTCATCTTGCGGCTGGTTTTTCTAGCCGGGGCCACAACACGTATTGCGTCGTGCACCGCCTGTCACCGTGCACGACATACAAAAGACTGCGTTGACAGACTGTGTGTCCTGTTGACGGCAACCGGTTGAGACGAAAAGTCGCGGGAATCGCTCGCAAAAAAGTTGTACGTGAGATTGACATTAGGCTTGCTTGAGCAGCAGGTCGCCAAGTTGCAATCGAGTGTGCTGGCGGTCCCAGGTGCTGCTGCTGCTGCTGTTGTGCTGTCTGGTGCCAGATCCTAAGCTCTTGAACCCGCAATCTCACATCGCTCTGCTTTCTCCGAGGTTGCTGCGAACATGCGAATTTACCATGCGGCCCCCAATCTCAGGTTAGTCTTCTTGCAGCGCAAGAAGGCACTATGGTCCTACGATGTCCTGTGTCGATTGGTGTTGGCGAATGCGCTCCACCATCCGTGTGACATTGTGTTGTGTGTGTTGCATAAGGGAGGGAATCGGGGCTTCAGGATCCGCAGCCTGCCTGAACCTCAGAAAACAAAACGTCGAGTTATGCTCGTGCTTAGCTGCCACCGGGAACACTAATCGGAGCGCGCCTCCACTGGTGTCGCTGCAGGAATACGTGCCGTTGTTGCCAACGCAGACCAGGCCCCTTGGTTGCTGAGAGTGAACGAGGGAGAGAGCCTTTCCCTGTCAAGTGAAGTGAAGAGAGAGAGAGAGAGAGAGAGAGAGAGAGAGAGAGAGAGAGAGAGAGAGAGAGAGAAAGAGACACAAGCAGCATAAGTCCACCAAACCAGCAACTAACAGAGGAAGAAAATCGCATAGGGGCCGCCCTGAACCCAAGTGACTTCTCCGGTAGGGGCTGTTTACTGTAGCTGGCATGCTTTCGATATGCTTCACGTGCCTCATACACACAGGCACAGTCAAGAGGGGGCCAACCTAGTTCCCCACGTGGAATACCCACGGCATAGGAACATAGACACAACCGTGCTCGGTAAGGCGGGGAACAACTGGGTTATGTGAGCTCATAGTGGGGCGGGGGCTTTAGGGTGGCAAAACGACCTAGCCGAGCACAACAACCCAAGTTTCACACCGGACATGAACAGTGGCGTAGCGCTCGCGCGCAGGGGGAGTGGGGACCCGAGCCCCACCTCCCAAACGCCTTGCAAGCAAGCAAGAGAGAGAGAGAGAGAGAGCCGAATGGTCAATGATGGTGCCAAAATCGTGCCTCCGGAGGGCTCAGACCCTCGGGATGCAACGGCAGAGAGAGAGAGAGAGAGAGAACTAAAAGCCCCACGAACATCGGGGGGGCCTGCAAGGCCGAGGGGTTTCGCACTCCCCTCATGCCCCGGGGAAGAAGAACTAGGACTGTACTTGTCTTAACTTCTGTCAACATGTGGGGAGCCCTCGGGCCTTTGTTGAAGTACAGCCGAGCCCTCCGGGGAAAATTCCTGGGGGGAAAGCAACTGGACACTCCGCGAAGAGCGGGTGTGCGCTTGCGCACGGGGGGATCGGCCTGGATGCTGCCGTGATCCTCAAGCCTGGAAGAGAGAGAGTAGCCATTTTGGCTCAAGCCGTGAGTGGTTCAAGGCCCGAGCCCAAGCGTTGAGAGAGAGAGGGCCTCAACCAGAGCGAATTCCAGTGGGATAGTGCAGAAAGGGAGCGATCAAGTTCAACGGCAAGTTTGCTGTCCTTTGCGTCTACACCTTGCGGGTTGTAATCGGGGAACTCGTGAAGTTCGGAGTAGCTCGCAATCCGTGCGCTGAACGTTCGGAACTATCACAACAACCTCTTGGGGGAGATCGGCGACCCTACAGGACCTGAGTGCCTACTAAACGACCCGCCGCACCGAGACCATGGCGACTGGCAAAGGGGACGCTGGGGGAGCACCCTCCAAGAGAAAAGCCGAGGAGAAACCCATCGAAGGACAACCTCAGAGCCTGTCGTTAGATCTCATTATTCGCGAGGCCATACGTGGGGAAATCAAAGATGCTGTGGGAGAGTTTCGACACGACATGCAAACGGTTAGCCGCCGCGTGGACTACGTGGAGTCGCAAGTCACACAGAAGATGCAGCAGACCCTGAACATGCTCGATGAGATGTCGGTCCGTGGCCAGAAGCAAGAGGAAATCCTGGAGAGGCTGCAGGAGGCTAACCGCGAATTCAATCACAGGATTTCGAGTCTTGAGAAAGGCGGGGGAGTGCCTTCGGCTCCGCCACACGGGAGGGAGGCAAACCACCCGCACTGGTGATCGGGGGATGGGATGCAGATCAAGATGCTGCGACTGCGAGAGGAGGCAGAAAACATCCTACGAAGCGTGGAGGCACCCATCCCAGTACAAGGACTCTTTGTTCCTGGAGTACGTCGAGGTTATGCGATTCTCCCCGTGGATGAGCGTATCGGGGAAACCTGGGAACGACGCAAGACGAGGATCCAGGACACCATCAACAAAGTGCGTGCAGCCAATGTCCAGCTGGGACAGAGACCAGATGGCACCTCCCGGAAGGTATGGATTGCACTGTCGCAACCACCGGAGAAGAGACGCCGTGCACGCCTCGCAGCCAAAGTCAAGCGCCTCTACCTGAGCCTTGGGGGGGACAAGAACCTGCTCCAAATGGAATATGGAAGTGGAAGCGCCTGGATCGATGCTCAGAAGGTGTGCTCCACAACGGCCCCGCAACCACCCAACACACAAGAAGCTGGACCTGGGTGGGTGGATTTGGATTGCATCGCCCGAGCAGTCGGCAGAAGCAAGACGACAGTGGAGAAGGAATGGACTCCGCTGGCGGCGGAGATACACTGAGATGGGGAGGATCAAACGTTTCACCAACAGGGGGACGGGCAACCCGTTTCCGCCAAGCTACTGACCGTTTTGGCCTGGAATGTCGGGGGAGTTATGGCAGAAAAGTTGCTGGACGCCTCTGAAACCTTCAACGTTGAGGCACTTTTCCAAAACGGAGAGGTCTTCATGCTGCAAGAGATCATTACTGCACCGGGGCTTTTTCACCTGGAAAACGACCATTGGCAACTCGTCTATGGCAAGATCGAGGGAGAGTTTAGAGGAGAAGGGGTGCTCCACACCAACCGTTTCCACCACAAGCAAAGCTGTGTCATGGGGGGAGGAGTGGCAACCACACTTACACCCACTGCCGGGGGACAGCCTATCCGCGTCCTTGCAGCCCATCTTCCACACCATGCCACAATACAGCAAGCAAGTACCCTTTTGCGAGGTTGGGAGCAAAGCCTGCGCTTTGACAAATTGCTAGTGGGGATCGATGCAAATGAAACCTTTGCAAGACCTCGACCAGGAGCCACTGGTTGCACAGCCAACTCAGCCAGGGGGAGCTTCTCTTGCAGTGGGCCCAAGACCTCAGAATGAAGTTGCCACCACAGGAACTTGACACCCCAACCTACCACCCTTACAACACCTCACAACAATTACGCCGTCTGGATTACACCTTCTGCCGGGGGGTTATGACGGCCTCAGGATCGGTCATTCAGTGTAGAGACAGACTTGCGTCTGACCATGACGCAGTCCTGCTGGAGATCTTCGAAAGTCGTCAACAACTGCCCCAAAAAATCACCTGGGGACCTCGGCGCCTTCGGCCGGACGATCAGGTACAATCACTCCTCAGAGTGCCGCCGCCACGAAAGCAACACTTCAAAGAAAGCGCAGAGCTCAGGCAGCTGAGGCAAACAGCCCAGACACTACCGGCGGGAGCAGCGGCCAGACAAACATGGAAGCAAATTAGCAAGCAACGAAAACAGGAACAGCGAGCATGGAAACAGGCCCTTGCCGAGAAGGCGGCCAAACTGGACTGGAGTGCGGTCAGAGCACTACAACAGAGGGAGGCAAGCGAAGGATGGCACCTTCACCTCCAAGACGATCCAGACTGGCAAGAAAAGCTACGAAAGCACATGGGTGGGATCTTTGCTAAGCCACAGGGGGACACGAACAGCAGCCTCAGGCTCAAGCAGCTACGTCAAGCTCTGAGAAGGCGATGCAAATGCACACCTTGGACTCCTTTCAGCTTGGGGGAACTCAACATCACATGCAGCAAGTGGGCCAGCAACAAGAGCACAGGACCAGATGGAATTTCCCACGAAGCAGCGAAAGCCTTGCTGCTTGATGGGGAGTGGAGTGATCGAGTGCTCTATCTCCTTAATGATATGTTCTACACTGCGAACATTCCGGGGGGGATCGAAGCCAGTATCACCGTGTTGCTCTCCCAAATTCCCAGACCACTTCAATGGGGGGACACACGTCCCATCACGTTAAGCTCTACGCTGTTGAAGTGGATCGCACAGCTGCTTCTCCATCGTGGAGGAGATGCCATTCGCGATGGGGGGAAGGAGTACAGTGGGCTCGGCGGTGGAGGCAAGGTGTTGAACTGGTGGCAATCTTACGACGGGTGGTGCAAATGTCACGTGACTGGGGAATTGGAACCTGGATAGTCAAGCTGGACATCCAAAAGGCGTTTGATAGCATCTGGCAACATAGCCTGGGGGAGATGGTGGCTGCCAGAGTAGGGGGGGGTGGGCTCAGCCAGATGGCCAACCCCACGAGACGTGGGGAACAAACCCTGGGAGGCTCTCCTGTGGATCAGCTTGTTGGAAACCCGAGCAATCACCTGGCGAACACAATCACGCCGGCCAGCCAGTCGAATGGCATTCGACAGGGCTCACCAGATTCACTTGACCTCTTCGGGGACGAGACCTTGCAGCAGCCATCCGCAAGGCACCCAAACAGCCCAACGATGCCCAGGGGGGACCACTACCACCGCAAAGCGGGGGAAGCTTCCTTGATGATACGTACTTGTGGTCGCAGAATAAGTCACACCTCCAAGCCCTGTTACATTAAGTAACCTCGAGAAAGAGCTCCTTGAAGATGGACTGCGCATACACCCCACCAAGACTGCCATTCTCCACAGCACACCTGAGACCACTGACACCTTTACGATAGGCGGGGAACAAGTGGAGGTGCAACCCTTTGGTACAATCATCAGTGTCCTTGGCTCCCCCCTTACATTCGAGGACCAGGTGGCAGCAATCGTGGGGGAAATAAACCGCCGTGCCCGATGATGTCCTGGTGGCACGTACAAGCTTCCGAGCCAAAGCACACCTCACACTCGTTCGGGGTGCGGCACTCTACGGAGCGGAGACCTGGCCGGCACGCCCGCGCAGGCTGACGACTTCCCAGGCGAGGATGCCACCGGAGGCGGGAAGGACGAAGACGAGGTCGGCGGCCTAGTCGAGGAGGAGGCGGCCTGTGGCGGGACTGGGATATCGCCCGGCGCTGCCGCTCGTAGGGCGTGGGCTCCTCAGCGGCCGGTGCTGCGGCCGGCGGCGGGACGGGCGCCTTCTTCACCAGCGAGGCAACCAAACATGCCAGACGGCTGGCGCTGACAGGCCCCTTGGTCTCCCGCCCCCGTGGCCGGCTCCACCACCAGAGGGGGGGGTGGCGCCTTGGCGAATGGCTTGACCTTGGGGGCGATCACCTGCCCGGCCAGCTCGGGCGGAGGCGGCTTCTTCACCGGCTTGGCTCAGTCGTCTCGCCCACTGACGCGGCAGAGGTGGTAATCGACGAAGAAGGCGGCGGGGGTCAGTCAAAGCCTACTTAGAGCTGTGAATTCCACCCAAGCCAAGCATATTCGCTCAATGCTACCTTGCCCGAGTCTACATTCAGAGGGAGAACATTCACTGGTCGAGCTACGTTCTCCTCCTGAATTTGGGGGCTCTGGGGGCACCTTTCCAGGGGGGGACTGGCAGTGAATAGCATGGTCACATGGAAAGACTTGAGGTTTTGGCGCGCTGAGCAACAAAAGCCCCGCAACAAGCGGGTCAATCATGCAGGGCGATTCAACCCGGAGGGGGACGTAGAGCGTGCACTGGAATGCATCGCGGGGACCAACTGGGGGGAGGTTGCCACTGACCGTGAAAGATGGAACGACTTGACCAGTCAGTTCATCGATCGCTTCGACGTACCCTGGGCAACCGGCAAGCAGCCAAGCATCCGAGACAATCTCAGCTCACACACCCAACACACACAGCGTTCCCAACACAGTCTCCCATCCAGCGGGGAAGGCAGCCAGCACCAACAACAAAGCCAGGGGGGATGGTGGCGAATGATGGAATTCCCTCCCTGACAGCCCAACCTTGGGGGGGGACGGTGGTTGCGCAACCTCCCCTCCACAGGAGCGGAGAAAAACAAGACAGCAAGAGTAGAGAGAGAGAGAGAGAGAGAGAGAGAGAGAGAGCATCAGTCACAAGTTTTTCACATACAGGTTGCAGAGCAATAACGCGGTTACAGTTCTACGACCAACTTCTGCAAAACACATTTTTCACATGAAAGCCCAGGATCGGGGAACCCACGACTTTCCTTCCACATGCCGCAGCAACACAGAGCAAGAGCAGTGAAGCCGCTAGTTTTGCGGGGAACCATGGCAGAAGCGCCGCACCTTTTGCCAGTGTGCAAACTCTGCGCCAAGAGTGGCCGCGGAAAACATTACCGCCCGTGCCGATCCACGATGCAAAAATTACGTGGGTCCGGCAACAGAGACCGGGGGGAGTGGTGTAGCTGCACAAGCCGCTCCTGTGAACAGACAGCCTCCAGACCTCAGCAGTGGGGGATGACGCTGCCGTGGATGCGCAGCCTCACTCTGCCTTGGGCAGTACAAGCGAAGCCGAAGGCAGCCAGCAAGGGGGACGTCTGGAAGTCTGGAACAGCGAAGTGAGAACTCTGGGGAGCAATCGCCGGAGAGCAGCGAGAGTTCAACGCCGCCCCCGGGGCACCCACTGGGGGAAGACCCTCTGGAACGGCGCATGGTGAGACGCTTGGTGCGCCCGCTGTACGAGAGGCCTTGGAAAGCGGGGGACATCATGTGGAATGTCACCCGCCAGGAACTGTGCAGTGAAGGTACAGCCCAAGCGGGGGATGTTCTTCGCACTCTGCCGGGGGACAAGAGAGAAGAAATCGCGGATTCTCTTTTGTCCAAGCGTACAGCACTTTGATTGCTGTGTGTCAAGAAGTATGCGGGGGAACAGAAGGTGAAGGAGACCTATAGGCAGATGGCCGACAACCCCCTACAGTCAGCTGGACTTTGGTGCGCGTCTAAAATGCGCTGGCACGGGCCGCTGGGGATCACCACTGAGGAGTTTCGCAAGATACTACACTCCAAAGTTACGCCAGTGCCTTTGGATGTTCCTGGGAAGAGCCCTCGTCTTCAACGGGGAATACATATGGAGACCTACATGGGGGAACACCAGAGGAGCAGTCGCCAGACTGGACAGATCCGGCACATGACGCACCGTGGCACACGCCACCCGAACTTTTTGAGGAGGCTAAGGAAGCTGACAGCACAAAGGGAGTACACACCGACATGGACCTCACGTACAACCCCAATGACGAGGCCCTCGGCGTGATATTCGGGGGAGTGGACCTTGATCAGCTGGAGAGGGAATGGGTGCCCCGAAGCAGTGCATCGTCGGGGGACACAATGCCGAACAACACTGAGGAGAACCTCGAGAGAGACGCCACAGTTGAAAGGGTCCTGGCAGACCTGCGTGAGGAGACAGAGGGGGTGGAAGTTCAGGTGGAGGAAGTACAGCCAAAAGCAACCTCTACAGTGGCCGCAGCGGGGGAGCGATTGGCAATCACCATTCGCCAAAAGAAAAAGAAAGAAAAAGCTGCGAAAAGGCGTGAGATAAAGGTGAAGGGGATGAATGTGAAACTCCCCGCTGCACCTACTCCCTCAGCCGGGGGAACGGCCGAGCTACCGCGGGGAAGCCTGATGGCAAAGGTGTTGCGGATCGGCCGCCATAGCCAACCTCCGCCGGAGCCAGTAGGGGAACCACAAGTTCGACTACACCCAGCTGGTGCCATGCCTGACCACCCACCACGGAAAAGACGGAGACAGTGATGTGCCGATAGCTGTACAGAGCACTGAGATTAACCAAATTTGGGGGAAAAGGGGACTCAGGTGACGCTTATTGTGTTTGATGCTACGCTACAGCTTTTCTGGTTAGCCAGCACACTCAGTCGTCCCTTCAAATAAATTTGTGTTGCACGGAAAGAATGAAAACGTTCTGAGAGCAGTTCTTCGCGGCTTAAGCTCGGCAGCGACTTTGCTCATGTTGGCGGGGACCTTTTGACTTGATGGTAGGCTCTGTAGTGATGTTTGATGCACCAGGGTTGGGGAGTTGCCGTCATGACTGTCTTCACTGTCCTACGTACAATGTGCCGTACTTGCCTTGTTTGCTGACTTTTGTCATGTGGCACACCTACTTCGTAATTTGTTTCAGATTCCTCTAATACGGGGGAGAAACACCTTGGGACACAGTTACTGAACGATGTCGTGGTATTGTTGCAAGGCTTGTTTTTGGGGAAGGTTCAGTCAAGTCCTCAGCAGGTGGTCGCAGTTGAAGTACAGCTGAGCCCTCCTTGACTAAGTCAGGGGGGAGGACCTAAATCCTGCGGACTGCAGGTGCGCGTTCGCGTGCGGAAGGAGTAGCGTCCGCTGCCTCTTTCCTACCTGGCAGAGAGAGAGAGAGAGAGAGAATGTGTTGGGGCTTAGTTGCGTGGTATGGCCAAAGGCCGTGAAAAGAGCACTCACGATCGTCCTCACCGTCCCCGGAAGGGGCCGAACTGACCTTGGACGTCGCACGCCGCGAGGGGGTAGGCCTACAGGCCAAGGGGTTGCGCACAGCCCCTATACCCCTTAGCAAGCAAGCAAGCAAGAGAGAGAATTGGTCAGGCCCTCAGGCTTCAAAGTTACAGCCCCAGGCCCCTGCCGCTGGCGTGTTTGAGCCCTAGTCTTCACCGCGTGTTGGTACTCGTGTTCGGGTGTTGTGGGTGGCAGTACAGACCTGGTCTCTTGTGTCCGACTGCGTTTCTCAGCACGAATATTTCCCCAGTGCGCGAAATCGCACGGGGAGTCAGCGCACGCAGACTCCCCTGACTGTGCTGAAGAAGACAGGGCTCGCAGTTTCAGACACAGCACAACCCCCAAAATGGGGGGACCCAATTGAGGCGCGAGGATCCGCAGAGCCGGCTCAGACCGAAAGCACGGGGCGCAACTATTCTTCCTTTGGCTCTTGAGAATGTAGAAGAAGAAGAAACGAGAGACATCCCTGCAAAAGCTTGGCGGCCCTTCACGGGGTCAGAAGCAGAGTAGGACGTGCCCCAGTAAGTTGGATTGATGTGCAGGTTGGACATGTTTGCGGACGCCGCTCTCGTCGACAGGTGAACGACGGGCTCATTGTCAAAACATGTTGAAGCTTCAACCCATCTTGTGGCAAAGCTCGCTTTCCTGTGATTGTGCAAAATTGCACGATTGGTGAGCACTGCTTACCAGGTGGCCAGGCGGCTGTGCCGATTGTGGTGTGAGTCTCATCCACCGTTTCAGTGCCAGAGCTTCGAGCTTCGACAAAGTTCCTTTCTGTCACTGGTCGTCGAGACCACCCCTGAGGTGTTGCCTGTGGCCGGCCTCCGCAAGAGCCTTAAGACGGATACAGGGTATCTGTTTTCCCACACTTCCGCAGCAACATGCTGTCGGAGTCCAGGGTGTGAACCATATGTTACGATGGTCTCAAACAGTGATGGCGTGATGTCAGGGCCTGGGTGCCGCGAAGCGGTGCTGTTGTTGTCACGGAGGCTTGGCTTCCCGCCAGGGATGAGTGTGGTCTGTAGGTGCTGGTCGTTGTCTTTGTCTAAGCAGGCTTGCCCATCCAATGTGCGCGGCAGGCCATGCTCTTGAAGTGTCTGGTCTCACCCGAAATCTTAAGTGAGCACCTGCAGGCCGGATGACAGGCTGATGCCAGGAGATGTGCTGCTGAGCATACGCCGCTGGTGGCTCAGGTCACGGCAAGTTTCCGGGTAAGCAGGCTCTGCATGCTGCCAACAACGGCTGTTGTCTTTTTCACGGCTGGCTCAGTTTTGATTTGGTTTCCCAGTAACGTCGTACTAAGAAACTGGCTTTCTCCACACCTGTACGACTGCTTTAGGCAACGGGCGGACTGTCAGTGCAATCCAGTGCACGGACGACGTCAAGGAGGCTGTGTACTTTGCCACCACATGCGCCTTTTTCGACAGATTGGAAGCACGTCTCGTAATCCGTGGAGCTGGTTCAATAAAGTCCTTTCGGCCTTGCTGTATCCCGTGTAAGTAGAACCAATGCAGAAATCACACCGGAGAGAAGTGGTTGTCATGCGTGCGTGGGCTTGGGCTCAAGCAGCATTTGCTCAAGCAGTGGTTCTGGGCTCCAGATCTGGCGGCAGCTTGTCGCAAGAGACTTGTATTGCTGTGTTCTGGAACGAAGCTAAGTCGCCCACGAACCATACATGAACAGAGGTGGACGAAGCTCGAGTGCTGTTCAAGTATTGCGTTTGTCAAGGAGCGGGTAGAAGCCGCTGCAGATCCTAATCGCATGTGCGTGTGCAACCCGGGGCCCCGTCTTTCAGACTCCTCCGTGAAAGTCGAAAACCTGAACAGCAGCCGCCGGCTGCGATCTTCGTGTCGTGTCTTCAGAGAACTGAGGAGAGATGCTCCGTCGGCACAGTCGCAGCTGTGCATGGCTTTGGCTGGTGTCGCCCATGGCGATGCTTTGGCTGGTGTGGGCACCAGAGGTGTCGGATAGCCAAAGCTGTCGTCGCAACCTCCCCAACTCCAACAGCTGACGGAGAGCATGAAGTGGCATGGAGTGTAGGGCAGCGTCTGTCCAGACGTAGATGCAGCTGCCCCTGAAGGGCTCGCCTCTGTCGCCGGTGGCTTTCAGCAAGCCCGACAGTGAGGATCCAGTGGAACGGGCCAAGCGCTTGCTCCGAGAGGCCGATGCCGTTTTCTTCGACGTGGACAGCTCCTTTGCCCCGCCGTTTTGGGAATCTTTTGCACAAGTTTAGGCACTTTGAGGCTTCAGGTTGGGCCACGGGGGTCTGCTTCGAGCGACGCGATGCGACGCGTAGCAAGACAGGCACTGTGGTCACGACCGAAGGCATTGACCTGATTGGGAAATGTTTTGGGATTATGAAAGAGATCTCCGAGCTCACCCACAAAGCCATGAATGGGAACGTGAAGTTTCAGGCCAGGCTGCAGGCTCCATGTCGATGCTTTTACCCTGCACTGCTCAAGCCAGGATGCCATGGCAGAGAGACTGCAACTCATGGCCGACCACGGCATGACTCGAGACAAGCTGGAGGAGTGCATTAAGACCGAAGGCCCTCGATTCCAAGCGCAGTCCGGGGCATGAGAGCGAGAGCTAAAACTGATGAGTGGAAGAATGGCCGGAGGAGGGCCCAAATCAGCGTTGAGAGTTCGGGAGGCACGCCGCAATGGTCACCAGGCGTGCAAGAGGTAGTGAAGATGCTTCACAAGCAAGGAACAGACGCTCTTTAGCTGCATCAGTTTAAGTTGACATTTTTATTTGGACACGTAATGCTCAGCCGAGGTTTATCTCGTATCTGGAGGCTTCCAGAACATGATCAAGCCGATTGCGTGCCTTCGCGGAAACGGGATGCAACGCGCACTTTACGTTGAGCGGTGCTGTCGTGGTCGGAGCATGTTGTGGAGAGGTCTTCGCCGTCGCATAGGCCCAGGCTCCTCCTTCCTGATGATTTCTTCAGTACTGATAAGGCTAGAGCTGCACATCCCACAGAAGATGATCTACGCGCCACTCTACTGTACAAGAGTTTCCAGGGATTTTTCGACAGGTTTGATGCGACGAAAGACATGTTCAGTCAAGCTCGAAAGGAATGAGATACTCTTCGATGAGCAGGGCAACTACGCCGGCTTCGACCGATCGGCTCCTACGTCTGCCTCTGGAGGAAAGCCCAAGGTCTTGCGGATGATGTGGCACGCACTGATTTAGCTTTTCGTTTATTTCTTGTTTGTCTTATGCAAGTAGTAGTAGTAGTAGTAGTAGTAGTAGTAGTAATAATAATAGTAGTAGTAGTAGTAGTAGTCGTCGTAGCGAAGGCGGCCCCCGTCCTCCTCTCTCGGTGAAGGGCCCCCCACTTCAGAGTACAACATAAAGCAAAGTTGTTATCATAGCCTCAGCAAACATCCATGCCGACAGCAGCATTGCTTAAGACCACTGCAGGCTTCTTGTCCGAGTCGTTGCTGACAAGCACCCGCATCGACGCTTGTGTAGGGGGTGCATGGGATTTTGCTGTTATTTTTTGGTAGGGGCGGCGGTGGGGGCGAAGGAAGCCGGAGAAAAGCAACGAAAGAGAGAAACCTGAAAGGAAGCTAGAAAGAAGGAGGGAAAGACAGACATAAAAAAACGACAGAATGGAAGACAACAGAAGCAGAGACACAGAGAAACACAGAGCACAGAAAGAAAGAAAGAACGAAAGTCACAAAGGAGAAGAGAGAGAGAGAGAGAGAGAGAGAGAGAGAGAGAGAGAGAGAGAGAGAGAGAGAGAGAGAGAGAGAGAGAGAGGGAGGACTGCTCCCGCCCCAAGCTCCGAGCAAAGCAAAGAGAGAGACAGAGAGAGACAGAGAAAGGAAGAAAGAAACAACCAAAGACATGAAGACAAAAAGAAACAAAGAAAGCACGAACGAAAGAAATCACGACAGACAGAAAGAAAGACAGAACTAAATCGATGACGAATGTAAGCAAATAAAGAATCAACGAAAGAAGTAACGAACGACAGAAGGACAGAAAGGCACAACGACAGAAAGAAAGACATGTGACATAAATAGCAAGTTAGAAGGAATAAACTGAACGAATGAAGGAACCAAAAACCTGCAGAACCAACCTCATAAAGGATGGCAGAAACAGATAAAGAAGGACAGATCTAGCGAACAAACGAGCGAAAGACACAAACAAGGACTGCCAAACCTGAACAGTCACAGAAATAAAATATTCAGAAATAACGAACTGCATAAGGACTGAACGACATAAACAAAGAAACAACACCAGCTAACCAACCAATGGGCGAGAGAAACAACGAAATATACACGAGAGAAGAGAGAGAGAGAGAGAGAGAGAGAGAGAGATTGTCCTGGAGGGCTGTTCACCCTCCTTGGCACGGTGGGGAGTCGCAAGGTTGGCCTGAGGTTGTGCCCTCAGGAGAGCCTGTGCGTCTTCCCCAGCGGCGCTTGAGTCGCATACCTGCCGCGTTTCTGCTTAAGTGGGGGAGGGTAGCGCCATATTCGTCTTCGGCAAGTTTGCCGCTCTACAGCCTACTGCGCGAGTTCGGGACTGCAAGTGCCTCGCCAACAGCCTTGTCCAGGGGGAGGCGCCGCACTGTGCCACCAACCTCCTTTCCGACGAGGGGGAAGAGCTTCGCACATCGTACCTCCTGGCTGGGTGGCGAACTTTGAGACCTCAGTGATCGTGATAGTGGCCAGGACGCGAAGATAGCAAAGGTCGCAACAATGGTGGGGGACAAGCAATGTCGTGTGTGCAGGCTCGGAACAGGGGTGTGCCAGTTGGGGTTCCGTAAAGTGCATGTACGAGAAGATCCAAGATGCAGGCTGCACGGAAGGGAAGGCAGATGTACTCAAACTCCAAGCCTTCCAGCCAAAGGGGGAGGGAAGAGCGCGGCGCCACCGGAAGCAGCCGCAGAGAGGACACCAGGCGGGGGACGCACAGCCGCAGAGAGGACATCCCATGGCCAGGTCTGAGAGCACGCCCTTGGAGCGGAAGACCGCATATGTCACCCACGGGGGATTGCACCTGTTATACGACCCAGCGCCAATGGACAGGTGGATTGGAAAAGCAGTGGAACCCTGTGAGGGGGGATACAAAAACCTGGAGACCGAACAGATGCTCGACAATGAGGAGGAGACCGAATATACCCAGTTTCTCGAAAGGACAGTCGAAAGATATAGAACGGGGGGAATGGCAGACCGCCTCGTGAAGATCGTGGACAAATACTTGCCCAAGGTTGCCGACGAAAACCGAGCGTATGTGATGAGATATCCCAGCCAAACCAAGAAGATGTTGGCAAAGGCATGGAAGATCCGCAAGAAGATGAAGGCACAAAAGAAGACAAAGCGCACGGGGGCGAGATCCACGAGTGCCTCGGGGGAAGCCAGCCAAACAAAGACGCGAGCAGAGGGGGTGGTTCAGGGCACAAGTTCGGGGGATCCGGCGGAGGACAGGACTGCTAAGCGTGTGAAAAAAGAGAGCAGTGCGTCGGAGGAGACACCCCCAGACTGGGGAAGCAACCACAGTGCCAGCCCCGAGAAAGAAGAGTCGGGGGAGGACCAATGGCCATGGGGCCCGGAAGGACGACCGTCCGACAGAAGCCAGGGAACAAAGCCCAACGAGCCAGCGGGGGAGCCGCCGCAGAGGGCCAGGCCAGGCACCGCCACGACGAGACCGAGCGAACCTGCGGAAGGACCTCGACAGCCACACAGGGGGGAGAGAGGCCCGCTATACGCCTCACTCCCAACCTGGCCTGGCAAGTGCGCAGGGTACAGGACCACATGACGGCGCAAAGAGAAAGGACTACATCGTCGAGTTCCCGTACTGAGCCCAAACACTGAGCAGGGGGGAAGGCATTTTGCCACCCTTCAACAATAGCGTGTGCGTCACAGTTTTGCAAGGGAGCCGACTGCCAGTGAAGAGTCTACCTGTGTAGTGCGGGGCGTTGTACTTAGGGCTTTTCGTGCCTGCTGCTGGCCCCCTAGCCTGCATGATCTTGGGAAGCCAACTTGCTACCTAAGTAATAGGACGGGCCGCTGAGCCATAACCCACCACAGTGCATGGGCCGAGAGCCCAAATTCAACAGAAACTTTGAGGGGACACACCCACAGCAATTCGTGTTAGAGTTCTAAGGGGCGACATTTGCGGGGCACCCCAACGGGGGGATTATCACTCCCTACTGTTGCCTCCTACTACATTACCTCCTGTAAGGGGAACCCGCCGTCCTCGTCACCTGCACGGTTCCTTGTTCTACGCTGTTGCTTCCTACTGCCCATGCGGGGGACCTGAAGTAGTTGACTAACTTGGCCGATGGGGGAACGAGCCTGTTCTTGTGGTACGCTGTCTGCGCACTGATTACCCCACATTCCCTCAACGTCCTGTGCTTAGCCGTGTTGCTGCATAGGGGGAATGTCTGCCGGCCGCGGTGGTTCTGCGTGGGGGAGTGCCTGGCTGGCGAGGGACTAAGGACTAGGCTTAAGAGAGCGCGGTGACGAGGCCGGGACGCGCGTTAGTGTAAAGGGAGGGATGGGTTCCTTGCCAGCCGTACTTCACCGATCGCACCTTCCACCAAGACAAAGTTTCCCGACCACTGAAGACCCCAAAGCCTCTTCCACCGCCTAAACGGGGAAGGGGGGGCCTGGGCCCGGGTTCGTGTGCGAACCTTACCCCTGAGAAGCGAAGCGAAGCGAAGAGAGAGAGAGGAGAGATACACCCTAGCCCTGGCGAAAGAAAGAGGATAGATACATAGAGAGAGGAGAGACGTAATGGCTTTAGCCCTTTCCTGCGCAATTCTCACTTCTCACTCCCCTGTCCCGCAATAGCACGGGTTGGCCTGCGGACCGGGGGATGCACTTGCAATGCACAGCTGCCACTTCGCTCCCCCTAGCTCTCGTGAGCTCTGCTTTCAAGTCTTAGCCCTGCCCTCCATCGCCAAGCAGTGCTTTGTCTTGTGATGAACCTGCTTGGACTGGTTGGTGCTTAGCAGGAAGCGGAAGAAGGGCTACAAGACCATGATCATGTTCGGAGATGGCGCGACGGACCTTGATGCTCGATCAAATGGTCCAGCCAGCGCCTTCATTGGCTATGGCAGCTTGGCGCCTTAGAGGAGCCGCTTTTGGGCCGTAATCGAGTCGCTGATTGCTGAGGTGGTGTTCAGGAACGAGAGAAAGTGAAGAAGGGAGCTGACTGGTTCCCTGGCTTCGCTCCATTTTGCGCTGTAGTGCAGTCACCCAGATAGATCCAGATAGCATCTGTCAGACGCTCGGCCTAGGTTCATTACTAGCTTCCAAGAAGTGCTCGAGACTTGCCTGCATTCCCTGCTGTTTGATTTGGCTTGTGCCGGAGCTTTCAGCACCCTTTGACGGGTGCGAGTGTGCAACAAATCTTAATCGTGCCTGGACCATGGCTGCTGAGGATGTGCTTCCAAAGGGCACGGACTTGTGAAATTGATTTGGTCCCCGCGGACTTAGTTTAGACCTTGCGCAGGAGCAAGGGAGCTCAAAAACTGCTAGCCTCGGGCTGCTGGGAGCGGCGCCGTTCCGCCTAGCCGATTGCAAATCTGTTTTGCTTTGGGTGCACTGGCAATGGGAGCCTTTGCCACTTGTCTGAGGCTGCACCCTGCACCCAGCTTGTATCACTTGCGACATTTTGTTTGCGCCCTACGGCCGATAGTTTCATAGCTACTAGTCTTTTGAACGGACAGAGACCAGCATCTCTGCACTCCTGGAGTGCAAGAGGTGCGGTTCAACTAGGCTCTTGTGCTGTCTGAAGACAGATCGTTCCAGAGGCAAAAAAACCATGGTAATTAAGCAGATCGTCTGGAGACCTGGAATAAGTAACTCTGGCAGAATCCATGCATGCTAGGCCTTTCGGACCTGTCGGCTCGACCCTGAGTGGACATGAGCCTTCATGTTTACCAACTCCTGTGTTATTGAACCTGGCTGACTTCAGGGTGGGTGAAATCATCGACCTGGAGGTCGGGGCTCAGCAAAAGGAGTTCTGCACATTGGCATGATCTGCTACACCTTTGGCCTCGGCAGTATCGAGGGCGCCAAGAAGAGGTAACGAAAGCATTGTGAGGAGTGTGACACATCTTTCCGCACCCAATGATGCGATGCGAACACAGTATGCCAAGAAGATGATAACTGAATAGTAAGCTTGTCGTCGCTGGCTGTGTGTGACAACTCTGAAGCGAACACTGGTTATCAATCCACGATGAAGAAACACTGGTATGAACGCAAGCACTATGAAAAATCCAGAGTCTGATGTCCACATGTCTCTGTTGCTCAGGTCCTGCGAGTCCGAGGGGACTGGAATTCTCGACCACTACCTCCCGATGAAGTGCCTCTCATCCAGGTACCCCCGTGGATTCAACACACTCCTCCTTCGAAGATCTATTGATCATCTGTCAGGCATCGATGGACTCCCCCGCAGAAGTGGAGAAGGCCTTACTTATCATCACTGCTTGCCTGTCAGTTTCCTTTCCGGCAGTCGCAGCTCATGAATTGCCAGTTCAGTGTGCAATGGGCATTTGCAGGCGGCTCTGCCAACCCACAAGAAGGTGCGATTGCCTCTGGGAGCTTGGAAGATGCGCCAGCTTCTACCTGCCTTCTGCGAGTCCCCTGCAGGAGATGGCATATAGGGTAGATGCACAAGAGATGTGCCGTTGCATATTGGCTGCAGCAGTTAGATGTCCGCCAATTGCAGTGGCCCCGAGCTCTTCGATAGGGAGGCCACACCGCTTCTCTTTCGTTTCCTGCATGCGAACTGAATGGCTCAGAGCAGTGGAAGAGACATGGCACTTGTGCAAAGTAGTTGAGATGTACTTGGATGTCAAGCCAATTGAACTGTGCTTGTGGGGACAGCTCCCGATTATCCTTGACAACCTTAGTGTGGGGTTGCTCAGGTTCCGCTTCGAAGGGAAGGGTTTGTTTGCCTTTCGCAGCTGAGACCTGCTCTTTCAGAGCTCAGCACGAGAGGGGGCGCCGACTACAGAACACCGTGTTTAGCTCAGTGTAGGTGAGAGTGCAAGTCGCACAAGTCATCCTAAGCGTCTTGGGGCACGGCCCTATCGCACAAAGGAAATGCACTCTCCTCTAGTCTGATGGCAGTGCTTGTTCGAGGATGTGTGGCGAGCCTCTAAGCATGGGCCTATGAGTTTTGCACAAGTGCTTGTCGCTAGTTAAGCCCTGGCATCGGATCTGCGTCCCCTGCTTAATGCCTTCATCCAGGTTTACGGCGGGAAGATTTTCGTCTCTGGGAAGGGGGCTTTCTTGACAAGTCATAGCCCTTGCAAGCTGTATCGGTTCCTCTTGCTAGCTTGAGGGGGAAGGCTTGTCGTTTTCAAGCTCTCTGTGGTTGTGTGTGTGTGGTCGGCAGGCTCGGAGCCATGCGTGGCATATGCTGGGCGCTAGCACTCCTCCTGTGGGTGGACGCTGCCTTGTAGCAGTTGCTTCTTTAGGGAGCTTTCGGCTTTCGGTTTGATCGGAGCTGAGGCTTCTGGGCAAATTATCAAGCCTGCAGATTACGCACCTCTGCGGAGTTGGCCGAGATGTTTCGGAAGTGTTAGCCGGAAGTTGAAGAAGCTCCGTGCACCAGTCCATGCTGGGCTCATATGCAAGTTAGATCAAGTTGTTAGCATTAGCATTCGAGCGTTCGCGAGTCTGCCTTCAGACATGTGTTTGCTTCGCCCGTCGTGACATGACCTCACATGCACGCAACCACGGCTGAGCAAACAAGGAATTGGCAAGGAGTGCCAATGCCAAGGCTGCTGAGGCATGTGAGGATTTCGAACCACTGGAAAACTCGGAGCGCGAGGCTGCTCGCGACTACTTAATAGCGGCCTCGCGCAACAACTTCCTCCTCGAGGTGTTCAGGTCCGTGAATACCACGGCTGGCGACGATCTCGTCCAAGATATGCTGGTGGAGGTCGCTTGCACAATTTGGTTTGTGGAGTAGCACCTACACTCGTCTCACAAGCCAGGTAGCAGAATGAGTGACAGAGTGTCAGCAGCGCAGGTCGCGGATCCCGCCTTTGTCGCTCAAACAGCGGGCCCGCTGGTTGCGTCATTCGTGCTGCTTGGCTTCACCGGAGTCCTGCGTCTTGCCGGTTGCTGATTGGAACATCCCGACTTCATGCCGGTGGTGGGCCAGCCCTACCTTTGCAAGTTGGGCACTCCAGAGAGTGCGCAGATAGATTTGGTTCAGGTTTGGCTTGTGTCAGAGTGCACGAAAGGGTTCCGGCCATGCTGCAATCCCGAACTGCTTGTTCATCTTTGACGGGCGAAGAGCGACAAATAGCGGTGAGTGCCCTGCTTCCCTTCAGGTTTTTTGGAATTTGGCTGATTTGTTGCTGCTGGTCGGCCTGGCCATGCTGCCGCTGTTGCCGCTGCTGTCGGCGCCGATGGTTCTGCCCATCAGTTTGCAAGCTTTTCTTTATCCTTCTGCTCGGACACTTGGCATATGCTTTCGAGCTTTATGTACATCGTGTGCACATTCTCTGCGTGGTGCTTGTGCTTGGTCAGTGATTCGGGGAGAGCTGTCCAATGCTTTGAGGAGCCATCGGTCTTGGCCTTGTGGTGGCAGCCCTGCTGGCACTGCGAGGGCTGGAGGCGTCGACGGACGGTGTGGCACGAACAGCTGCTTGGCTTGCATGAGTCTGTCTGCACTCTCACCAACTCTAGCCTCATCTCTTTGCCCATCCTGAACGATGTCAGCTGTCCCAATTGTGGTCGCCATAATAGCTGAGCAAGCATGGGGCTGGAACGTGCTCCGGAGCGTTTCCAGCACATGCGTTGACTTGTTTGTGGGCTGTTGAATTGCACCGCTGCAGGTTCAGACAGTTCATCCTGTGAATATTTTGTATATACATATATATATATACACATACATATGTGCCTGATCTGAACTAGTGCGCAGGGTGGCGACGAAGTCGTGCAAGCGTTCAACGGCTCAGAATTGGACCGAGGCGTGTACTTCCGCCACGATAGTCAACATGACTCTGTCCGGAAGTCAGAACCCGCGATTTCTGGGATTGACGCTTGGCCGAAAGGATGACAGGATTACTTTTGCCCTGGCAGTTGCACGTGGGTCTGTTCAGGCAGCAGGCATCTGGCAGACAAGTCATGCTTCACGAGGTGTGTACTCCACGCAGCTATGCGCAACTCAAAACCCTGGAGTCCACCTCCCATGATCGGATGTTCTTGAGAAATGCGGTGTATCGGAATCTGGAGATTCTGCACACATAGCCAAGGATTCCAGTCCTCCAGCAGGTCCAAAATATCATAAATGCCCTCGACGAAAACAGCCCGTTCATGACGGTGCTCTGGCAGAAGTCTTGCGGGTGCAGCAGTGTTTGGACATCTTCAGCGTGCCGGCTTGACGCTGCCGGTTTTCCAGCCAGCTGCCATTGCATTGCTGTGCAGGTGTGTAAGCATTTTCCTGTCCTGTCCCATTATCGGAAAAGACAGCCAACATCTGGACTTGTGTTTCTGCTTGTGCTTGCCTGGCATTCCTGCTCACATGACAGCATAAGGATCTTAGAGGTGCCCTCGATGACACGGAAAAGATTTCCGATGCCGTCGAGCTAGCGTCAAAAACTATGACGCTGCTCAACGACATGATGCGGAACGAGGCAAATCAGTCGCCGAAACGTGGCTTTCCTCAACGAAAGTCACGCGCAGCCCGTGCAATGCATCTTCGCGCAAAACCAAAGCAGACTGACTCAGGTGCAAACGGCGACTCGCTTCGCCACACCTGCACCCTCTGCGCGACGCTCTCGGACCTGCTGACGCCCGCCATTGCTGCACTTGAGAGCAGTCTCGGAACTGCCTTGGACAGAGCGCGCACGGAGGTCATTTCCACACTGCAAAGACTTAGTCGCACACCCGTCCTGCTAGCCCTTCACCTCTAAGTCTCGTTTGCTTCTGTTCCCCTACAGGTGAACAACCAACTCACCGGTGAGAAGCTTGCGGACGGGTGGTTTGCGGAAGTACTGTAATTGTAACTTCTGGAAAGCTTGGCGAGTTCTGAAGCAAGACAGGCATCTGACTTCATATCGCGTGCCCTCTCTACGTTGCATCCAGTCATGAGAGGAGCTTCAGGGTAGCATGGATCAGTTCACGGCGCCGCTGCAAGAGTTCACCGAGTCGATGCATGGACTATTTGGGCCTTTCGTGGAGCAAGACCTGCTTCAGCAGATCGAAGACGGGCTCCTCGGCCTCAGGAATGGGCAGAGAATCAAGGGCTGGCCTTTGCAGTACCTGATTCAGAAACTGGACGCGACTTGCACCATGCTGCTTGCTGTGCCGTGTGCTACTTGAGACTGGCGGAGGAGAGAGACGAAGCACAACTGCTTTCGTGCGTTCCTTCTTAGGCTCCGGCTGTATGGGCCCCTCGCAGTGTGTTTTTTCGCAGTGGTCGCCACCGAGCTGCAAAAAACTTGCAAAATCAACATGTGCTGCAACAGATGCAGATAAACCCTGTCAAGGCTGGCTTGCTTGCGTGTTGCGGCATGTGCTCGATGTGCTGCTGGTGCCGTATCCAACGCGGAGCTGTGCAGGCTTCATGGAATCATGTCTAAGTCAAAAGTTTTTCTACAGCGACTCGAGACCCCGAACCAAGCCGAAGGGAAAACCAAGCACCTGTTCTCCTCTGACCAAAGCACTATGCAGTGTGGGCTGCGCGGGCTCACTTGAAGCCCCGTGCCCAAAAGCCCCAAATTCTGAACTGTGAGACACTAAAAAACAGTGGGTGCCAGATATCTTGTGTGTTTGCAAAGTTTACGAAAAAGAGTGAATTGAGTCGCGGTGCTGTTGTCTCGTGCACGGTATGTTCCCAAATTACCGGTTGTCGCAGGGATTGGTCATGTTGGCAAGACTCACAAGTGTCAACAGTGATTTTCGAATTCGGATCGTGGCCACATCTGAAAGCCTGCCGACCGTCACAGCAACAGGCAGGAGCACACATGCCCGCTCACGCGCTTGAATGTATAGACTTCGCTCATTGTCTTCAAGTCGGAGTCAGATCATGGCCGGATGCGACGTTCGATTGACAACTTTTCCTTGACAAACCATCAGCTGCCGCTCTGCACAAGCGAATCACCAAGAGATGAAGAGCAGTGCACTGAGCACTCCAGCCGCAGGCCAAGGCCCACCGCTGCGCATGTTGCACATGGTGCTGTGGATGCTACTACATTTGGGCATCTTGGTTGCTGATTGAATTTCTTTACATGTGGAAATTGTGGCTGGCAAGGCGCCGAGAGCTTGAACATCTGAGAAGTAGTACTTGTGCGCCCATGCCTGAGTCACCTCTGCCGATCTTACTCAGGTTACTTTCCTTGTTGGCGGCAGCCTCCTTCTGGTCTCAGTTCCTCTTGCAAGTTTCTGAACCTTGGCCGGCCAACGTTTATTCGCTCTATCCTGGTATGACACGCTCCGACTTAGACTTGAATTTAACTCCTTGTGACTCGTGCTGACGTTTGACTCGCTGCACGCTTACATGGGCAACGTTTGCAAGGCTTGATCCTCGACGACTTCAGCGGACAGACCCTGCAGGACGGGGCATGGCGGGGCCTAGCTTTCATAGTTGCTCGTCCATGTGCCAAGCCATGCCACGGTGCTGGCAGAGTCGCAGCCCTACAAACATTACAGGACATGTCCGGGGCACTTGGCCTGGACATGACAGGCCCGCAAACAGCCATCATGCGGCTTTGCTGTTTGATATGGCCTTTCGTATGCTGTTCAATTTGGAGTTACTGTTCCGCTGAACATGACCACCAGCTAAAAGATGTCTATGCATAACCATGGTGCATGCAAGCAATGCTTCCAAGGCGAGAGAGTTATGGAATTATTCTGTAAGGTTTTTATGTGTCGGGTGTTGCCAGAGACTTAGGCTGAAAATGGTTGATCAATGCTTCCAAAGACCGGGGACGAGTTCCTCAAATGCAGCGCTTTTGGACATTATCACCGTGGAGTCCAATGGCACAACACAGACGATGAGGCCCCACTGAGTCATAACGGCACTGCTGGGTCCGTAAACGGAAGTGATTCGATTGGAGGCCGCCGCTAACGTACTCAACGAAATGCAGTCGCAATGACCCCTCCAGGCAGCAAGTGGTGGGCGGAGTCACCGACCAGATCAGTGCACAGTTCGATAGCCTCACTAGCGGCAATGCACAACAGAAGATCCGCTCAGATGAAAATGTCCAGAAGCTCCTGCAAACGATCCAGAACTTCAGTATGGATTTCATGATGCTCCCGGATCTTCCGGCGGTTGCGCAGGAGGACCCATACAAGAATATGAACCTTGTCGTTCTTCTGGTTGGCTGTTTCGACTTTAACTTTTTGGGTTTGTATATGAACTATAATAAGGAGGCTAAAAGTTTATTTTTTAGGAGGGGTTCAGAAGTCAGCAAAGGAACTTGAATCAAACTTTGGCAAAGTTCTTCGCATCCTCTGGCGCCTGCGACGACTTCGAATGGGACGGTCAATCCACTTATGGCCGGCCGTCTACACTCCGTGTAGTGAGTTCGGTTCGGCATTTCTTTATGTCGGGTTTAGGGCTCGTTTCAGCTCTTCGTTGGTGCACCCTAGGTATCGAGTCCTTCAGCAATGCGCTTGCACAATTTGGCAGCTTGGCAGTGAAGCGCTGGGATCCGTATGCTTGTCGCTGGAGCTGACCGAATAACCCTGACCCTAAACTCTACTCCGAGAGTGTGCCAGTCGAAACCCTACACCGTGCCTAGACGTGAGTGCTGTAACCCTGCATTCGAGGTGTGCCCGAGACACCGCCGCATTCCAGCTGCGGCCAGCTGGTGAACTGCACCGGCCACTTGACAATCGTTTGACTGTTTTTGGATTCCTTTACGGGTACGACAGTACCGTTCTCCCAGCTAGCCGCTCACCTGCACCTCCCAAATGTTGATCATTATTCTGGCCCGCACCCCGGATCCAGCGCACTACTGGGTGCTTGTAGGTGGGGCTTCGGGCTTACATGGAGCTTGAGGTTGGGAACGGAGGGAAGTTTAGGGCTTTTAGCGATGCACCCACCTAAACCCCTGATTCCCAATATTGAAAACAGGAGGTGTTTTCTCAGGGTTAATGCTGGGGGCGCCGGGGGTATTGGCCCGGAGCCACTGAACGAAGGCTTGAAAGGAGAATGCACCAGCAACTAGCCCCGTAGTGGTGTGCCGAACTTGAGCTGAGAATACCCTTGCCCTTGCTGCTTTTGAGGTGTTCCAGCAGCAGACGCTCTTGCGTGTGAAGCGGCCAACAGTACCTTGCCTGCAGACATTGCAGCCGCTGTACCAAGCCTTTACCCCAGCACAAGCTGCACCATCGGATGTCATCAGTCAGCGGGCCTGGCAAGAGCCGCAGGTTTCATGGAGCTGAAGCAGGGTCTGCGCAGCGTCACGTGCCTGCTGCAACGGTCAGATTTTCTCTTGTTCGTACAGGCTTACCATGGCTTACCCGTTTCTCGGACCAAAGCTCCCAGAAGGGATGCGTCACTCCCATTGACACGAAAAGCAGCCGCTAAGGTCCAGACCTTCAAGTGCAAATCTTTCCTGGACGAGAGTGGTTCAGCATGCACGCTTACCAACATGACTCACGTGGATGACGGAGTGTATCGGAATGATTGTGTGGCTCTCAGCTGTGGGTATCACGAGGCAGCCATTGTAAGGAACTATGCCGAGCATTTGCCATGCATTGAGGTTTCCGCAGCGACGGCACGCTCGCGGAGATCGAGTACGACTGCACTCTCGAAGACTTTACCCGGCTAGTGGAAAGCTATTCGAGACAACTGGATCTTGCCTTCGAGCGGCTTGACAACGTCACGCCGCTGGTGCTCCGAGGCATCGCCACAGACATGCGTCAGTTGGTGGAAGAGAACGTGATCGACAAGATTGTTTGGATCGCAGATGGTGTGACCTGCGGGTTCATGGGCGCGACCTTCTTCACCTTCGTTGACGGCATGTGTTTCCGAGGAGTGTGGGGCTTCTCTGCCATTGCTGCTTCCTATGTCGCGTGTGCAGTGCTGACGTTATTCCTGGTCATCCTCTTGCTGCTTTGACTCATTCAGCTAGGCAGCCGGTCCGACGCGTGATGCCCCGGTTGTATGATGCGCGCTTCATGTGGCGCAAAGGTACTTGGTTTGGCGCTTCGCCCTGGACACGTACGACGCACAGCCTATCAAGGGGCGGTTGAGAAGTATGTACGTAGTTTTACAACACCAGTTTGCCGTTTCCTTTGGTTGTTGCATGGGAGGTCCAATGCATCGCTTTCAGAGGTAATTAGCTGCCTTGGGCTGAGGAGCTGAACAAACAGGACAATCAGGCAGCGCGACCATACACAGGCGTGACAGTTGAGGGCGAGCCCCTCACCAATGCGGCCAAGGAGTGAGCTGCAGTTCCGCAACCGAGGTAAGGCACATGTGAATATCTACACACACACACACACATACACGCGTACGCGCGCATACCTGTTCGAACTGTGCAGGGTACCGAGTGACACAGCGGTGACTAGCATGAGGCAAGTTAAGAGCTAGCCGGCCAAGCCGGCCTCGTAGGTTTTTGCGTTTGTTTTGCCGAGAGACCGGGAGGGCTCGTCCGCATTGTCCTCCGAATTCAGGCTTATGAAATTAAGGATGAAGGCGATGCAATCCAGACACTGGTCTTGCACATGCCAAGTAGCTTTGCTGGTATGGAAGGGCGGAAACTTCGCCACATGGCATTGGAGCAAGGACGATCGTTGTGGGAATCATGGCCGCTGGCCGCCCTTTCTGTGCTTTTGTACACGATTGCAGGGAGATGGCCAAGCCAAAGCCCTGGCTCCACTCAGTGAAAGGCACGTCACTTTTCCAGGGCGCTGTGCCTATCACTGAGAGGGGAGAAGTTAATGCACTCTCCGAAGGCGGCATCTGAGAGTAACCCATCGGTTGGGTCTGCTTTTCGCCATCTGGAACCACGGCCCCGGATCCAAATCTCTCAACTACATTTCTGACTATTGATGGCTATCATCCAACTCCTTTCGTTGATGTTGGTCCATTAGATCCGGGGCACACGGCTGCCTGCAATGGTCTTGGCATGACGCTGCTTTATGCCCCCCTCGCGTCACGGAAAGCATTTGTGCAGCAGGTGGTTGTGACCAAACAAACTGTTCGCATCAATGCTGGGAGCAGCCTGTTGACCAGCTCCTCGTGCCATGTGTCTCTCCTTGCCGACTTGGAAGGTCCGCGTCCAAAGGCTCGTCGAATGAAGCGTGAGGCTGGCTTCAGCTTCCAAGAATCCTGAGCTGGCAGCTGCGTTGTTGTGGAAGTGTGGCAGTCCAGGGCGAAGGAAGGTATGTCTATGTGAAGGTATCTAATTGTGACATCGACGGGCTTCAAGAGGATCTCGGCCGCGAGCCGAGGTAACATTGTAGTGAATCTGGTTGGGCTTGTGCTTAGGCCGGTGTCGACGAATGGGTGACATCTGACTCGCTGCCTGCTGTTCGGTGCTGGGCGGCCCTTGTGTTTCGATGCACTTTGCTGTCGACTCCTGGTGCCACTCGGAAAAGTTAGGCTCCTTCTACTTTTATTCCATGATTGCGGAGTCTGCCACGGGCCTCGCTGACTGAAGAACAGACAGCGCCTCGTGGAATTAGGCTGCCCTAGGCTCCGAAGTGCTGCCTTCGGGACATCCCGACCTGTGAGACCTGCTTGTTCGAAAATGCTTCGCGCCGCAAGCCGTCCAACTGCGGGCATGGTTCTTCTCCGGAACAAGGCCCTTGAACTCTGCTACGCTCGCTGCCTTTGCTGCTTCAGAATTGCCCGTAGCTCCGGTGCCGGCCTTTGGCGATTGAATTCAGGCTGGAAGGCACACCGCCCTCTGCACTCCTTGCGGCGATTGATAGGCGGCACAGTCTTAGCAAGATGTCCGCAGGCCCCGTGCTGGAGATTGACCGATCTCCCCGCATGGCAATTCAGCCTGCTTCGGCCGACATTAAGGCGAGCGGCTTAGTTGATCGGAACATTCGTGAATAGTTTCATGAGACGACTTGCGGGACGACGGGCCCGGCTTATGGAAGACCAGAATTCCCGAACAGCCCATCGAAGTCATGATAACGAGCAGTGCTTGACCCGGAGCCATGCCTTGTACCAATGCGAATGTCAACGTTTGTGTCATACTGCAGCAGATTCAAGCAAGCGTGTGTTGCAGTCTTGGCAATGTCTGTGGCTGAAATCGACAAGCTCAGAACTATGCCGCGGGGTATGCATTGCCGTCTGTTCCATAGAGAACCAGGGCGATTCAAGGCACATCAGCGAGAAGTTTATGTGGCTCACTAGCACGGGGGCACGGCAAGAACGGACGTCGAGGGTTGATCGACTGTTTTTGATGGAGACCGTGACCTCGAAAAGCTAAGGAGGGTGTCAACAGACAAGGTCCGGAGGCAGGTGCACGACTAAACCAAACAGCAGTAGCCCTGAGCCCACAGCAAAGCGGGACATGCAAAGGGGCCCCCCGTCCTCAGCCGCTCGCCGAGGCCCGGACTTCGAGGCCTCGGTCCGCAGCCGCCCCGCGAGGCCAGGCCGCAGGGGCGTTGCTGCAGAGGCGTGAGGGGTGTGTGCGTCTGTTTGTTGTGTGTCTGTGGCGTATTGCGTCGTGTTGTGTGCTTTGTGAAATGTTTTGTGCGGTTCTTGGAAGGGGAGCCACGGTAAGAGCGGAAGCTGGGATCAATATGAAGCTATGAGGCAGAGGCGCATAGATCACAAAAGGATCCTCAAAGCCCCATAAGCGCTACCCCATTGTATATGACTTTCAGATGCCGAGGTGATGTCGCAACAGTCACAGCCTCATTTTCGGCACAGTCGCCAACCTTTAGGTAAGGAGAGTGCCAAAGAGACTGACTCCCATTCTGATTGTTTTCGGCCCGGCACGTCAGGTCATAATGAGGGCTGCACGCAAGCAGATTCGCGTCAAACCACCCCCCTCTACACACATTGCCCGGTAGACAAGAGCTTGCTAACCTTGGAACTGTGAGGCTTGCCTGGATGGTGCTTGGGTAAGTAGTCCTTAGCGGGTCTCAAGCAGTAGATCTCAAAGAGCTGGCCGAAAAGGGCCGACATGCCGAAGCGATGGCGGCCACCAGCGCCGACCCCACCCAAGCCACGGATGGACAAGGTTGCTTGGTACTTCGGTCCGGAACCTGGGGTTCTGAAACGAAATCGCCTCCAGCATAGGGTTCTTCAGTCAGATGTGTGTGCCCTTCCTGTCCCGGTCTCTTTGTTGGCTTTGCCCACGGGGAACATGCGATTCTTGCTGCAGACAGCGTCCGAGTATGTGGCGGAAATGAAGGAACAGGAGGAGGCGAGGTTATGAATTGCATGGCTTCGTCCGCTGTTCTTGCCATGCCAAAGGGCCTTGCAAATGTTGCTGCATGTCTTTCTGAGGCCGAGCGGCTTAAGAAATCAGGGAGCACAAAGCTCGCACAATTCGAGAAGGACAGCGCGAAGCCTGCCTTGCCATAAGCTTGAGTGACATTCCAAGACGTGAAAGGAGTACGGCGACCCAGACAATGCGACTGGCGCCATCAAAACACCCAGTGAGCTCAGCAATGCAGCCGGACCCATGGCGCAGCTCGGCGGTCACGAGTGCATGAGCTTCTTGCCGTGCCAGTTGCACCCGCTTTGTGGATCGGAGGCCTCCCAAGAAGGTGAAGAAGGACAAGAAAAAGGATAAAAAGAAGGAGAAAAAGAAAGACAAGAAGAAGACGAAGAAGAAGAAGAAAGATGGTAAGAAAAAGAAGGACGACAGCAGCAGCAGTAGCAGCGGCAGCGGCAGCAGCAGCAGCAACGGAGGCAAAACAAAAGGCAAGCTATCGTCGAAAAGGAAGAAGGACAAACATGCTGCGCGGGCAGTGTGTGAGCGCGATGTTGGCTTTGCATGTTCGGTGCTGCCACCAGCAGTCGATCGCCAGCCCTGGGTTATTTGCAGGAAGCTGTGACGGCCAAGAACGGTTGGAGGATCTCGGGGTTCCTCAAGGCCCGCGATCAGTTTGCAGACACGCCAGGTAATGAGCTTCGCATGGAATGTAGAAATATGTAGTCCGAAAACAAGTTTTGTGCAACGCGAGAGCCTCAGAACGAACACATAAGATAGGAACTGTCGCCAAAGCAACTGGTAGGTTTTTGTGGAAGTAGACATGGGGTCGCAGTCGGGGCTTTTGTAGCAGCCGGAGGGCAGTCAAACAAAAAGCATGGACCTGACCCTAGTGTCAGTAGTAGTCAGCGTCGTACTTGTGGCGGAGGCAGCAGGAGGAGGAGTAGTAGTAGGTGCGTAAGTAAGTAAGTTTTAAAGTTGCTACTAGGTTCAGATGCATGACAAGTAGTGGTAGTGGTAGTGGCAGCGGAGATGGTAGTGGTATCTGTGGCAGTAGCGGTAGCGGTGGTGGTGGTGGTGGTGGTGGTGCTGCTGCTGCGTTTCTTCGTGGTCTAGTGGCGGCAGAGGTGGAGACGGTGGCCGATGGCGGTGATGGTGATGCTGCTGTTCAGCTGCTGCCGTGTGATGGTCCTGATGGCTGCTGCTCAGCACTGCTCAGTGGTGGTGGGTGCGGTGACGGCTTTGCTGTGCTAACGAATGGCAGAGGCAGGTGGCAGTAATGTGTTGTCTGTCTGGCACCGGCAGCAGCTTTGTGACAATCTTTCTTGCATGTTGATCGAGTTTCAGGCCAGCTCTGACAGCTGATGGCGGAGCTAGTGACAGCTAGTGCAAGCTCTGTTGGTTTGTTGGCGGCGCGTGGTAGGCTCAGTTCTGAAGCTTAGCCAGTGGCATTGATCGGGGTCTCGAATTCCTGGATGATCCGCCTCCGACAAGTCACAGCAGCCATCAGTCAGTGATTCTCAAACATCGGCTGCCCATATGGCCATCGCACCAAAGCATGCGCTGACAGGCGATTCTAGACATGCAGACGTATGTAGACTGTATACAGAGATCAAGGACATGCAGGCTACGCAGCGGTAGCGCCTGCCCCGTCGACCCAAGCAGCATAGAAGTGCAAGCTGGACCTTGCTCGATGTGCGAAGGGGGAAAACGCCGCTCTGTGCCGCCGGCTGCAAGGGTGCAGCGGGTAAGGTGAGTGGTGCATTCAGGCTCCACGAACTTCACGAAGACCGCCAGATCGCAGCCAGGGCTTCAGTCAGAAGAGATTCATTTGCTTCGTGGGATATGCTATGGAGATCTATTGAGTTTAGGGTGGTCCCAGCTGCGAATAGTGCGACGGTGCTCAGGCCCTGCTGCACCGAAGACTTGCCGTGGAGATGCCAAGAGGTGGCGTGAAACATCTCCGACTGTTGCAAAGATCACAGAAGGCATGAAGTGACAAACTGCAAAAGGCAGCCTCCGATCTCGCCCCGGTGGCCGCTGCCGACAAAGATCCCAAGCCCCGCTAAGGTTCGCGGAGAAATCCAGCACGCTGTTTATGCAAGCTGAAGCTTCAGCCTCCTGAATGTCATGCTTCAGCTTTACAAACTGAATCGAGAACTGCGCCCTGTCTCTGAGCGCCAGGTTTGTACTAGCCCGGCACTGCCGCCCTCTCAGTACTCTCAACGCTGCATGGGCATGACAACTGCAGTTTTGTTGGTGTTCGCCCACGAGCTGCAAAGGCCAGTGGCCGGAGCGTTGCAGAAAAGATGTGCTGATGCGGCACACAGCTTAGTGCAGCAACGAACACGGGTTGGCGAAGTTCATGTCGCGCCAATGCCCATTCAGATCTGTCTGCTTCAAGTCAGCAGACAAGAGGAACCTTGCTCAGAAGGCAGCACAATGTTGTGGACACGGGGCAACAGTGGCTTTATCGTCATTGTTCATTAGTGACGTGTGGGCACTTTGTTGCTTCACGGTGTCTTTCTCACGATACTTCTTTGCAGGGCTGGGGGCTGGGGGCTTGCCCCAGGTGCACACGCTTCATCGCTTGCGAGCACAGGACGATGCCATTCTGAACGAGGTGGAATGTCTAGGGTGTGAGCAGGCGTGTGCCGTGAGCTTGTGTTGCGGTTGCCACCTAGTTTGGGATTTGCTCTGCCTTTCCAGACGAGACCACGGCCGGGCATTCTCTGTCAGCCCCGTCGCCGGTCCGAGGTGTGAAGCTAAGTTTGTGTCGCACGGCCCGCCTGGGGAGAAGCGGGACTGGATGGAGAGACACCTCAGCTGCTGTCAGGACTTGGCAGCTGCATACGTAGCTGCTGCTCGAGGCATTGACATTCGCCGGGAAATGCCTGCCTGACAGAGGGCTGTAGCGCATCGAGAGGGCTCTTGCACGACTCCCTGTCCGCAGGCCGCGCTCCGGCAGCTCAGATGAATCAGCCGTTTTCGCTACATGGTTCTCGCTTCCTAGCGAATGGGTTTTCCTTGTTGCGAGAAGCATGTCCATTCACAAACTTATCGCCGAAGTGCCGCCGAGCCCACGACCTCAAACCCTCTAAGCCACCACATCCGAAACGCCCACCAAGGAAAAGGAAGAGGATTTCTATGCTCCTCGAGGATGTGGCCTTAGAAATTGGGGAAGCTAGCACTTGGGCCCCGGCTGTGCCTTTTCTGGAACGCTCCTGCCCAAGTGTCTTCCTGGATGTGACGTTCCTGTAAGTGTATTTTGCCAGGCTAGAAGCTGATGGCGGGGATGATTTTGTTTGGGCTGCTGGCTAGTGCTAGTTTTCAGCCGGGTTCAGAGTTCCTTGGTTCCCTGCGTTGCAGGGCATCCTGGGCTTGTTATTCGCCCTGCCCACTCTGCGACCAGAGGCCCGAGACCGGGAAAGTGGAGCTTCACCACTTTAGCAGAGGCGGGGATTGCAAGTGCCGAGGCCGCCTGAGCAGGCAAGCAGCATCACGGTTGTCGTACCGAGCGTATGCGGTGCCAGTACGGTGTGAGTTGCATATTGCTACTTATGCCTTGTTCTTTTGCTCTGCCTAGTCGTCGTCAATACTGTGGTCTGTCATCGGTTGTCCATGCTAGCATGTGCAACATTGCGAAGTCTTACACAGTCCGCCAGGCGCGGGATCGCTTCAAACAACGAGTACATGCAGTTGAGCCTCTCTGCTGCAGGTACGTTTCCACGATCTCTTGTCACCCCCGCATACTCCAGATACATATGCCAGAACAGGCGACTCCTTTCGCAAGTAGGTCAACGACTTTTCCGGCTGGTTACTGCTATTCGGTTTTATCAAGCATGGCGTAGCGCAGGTCCAGCGCTACCAACAGCAGAGCAAGCGAGACACAGGTGCAGACACAAGCTGATTTATTGAGTTTTATTCAACAGGGATGGATTAGGCTACTCCAGGCTTGCCTTGGGCTATCTTCGCGCTCATTTCGGGCTTACTTCCAAAGTCCAGCCAAAACAAGTGAAACAGAGTACTCCAGGCTAAATCGTTTCTGGCCTGCAGGCAAGTTTCCAAAGCTGCGTAAAGTGCTCGCGCTATAATCTTCCAGAAGAGGACGCTGTGGGAACCTATCGGTTTAAAGATTTCGGTTGGAACTTATCGGTTAAAAGGGCAACCTATTGGTTTAAAGGTTTGGTCAAAGGGTCTGTGTAAGTAAATTATCGGTTAAACGGGTAGGTTTCTGTGGGAATCTAATGGTTTAAAGGTTTCCACAGCGTCCTCCACAATCAAAGACTGAGGTTCAATACTAAATATTGGGGTTCAATATTGCCAAGGCCCTGGAACCAAGAACCAAGATTGCTCCCAGGACTTTTCTGAGGCAATCTTGGTTCTTGGTGCTCCGGCCGGCCGTTCTTGAGGTTCAATATTAAATACTCGGGTTCAATATCGCCACGGCCTTGGAAACACCATCGACTGCCAGGGCCGGCCAATATTCAAATATGAATATTTTAGTACTGGCCGGGCGCGGGAATACCATTGGCCACGGCCCACAATCCAAGATTGGCTGAACAGGATCTTGGATTCCGGGCCGGAGCCTACTATTGAAGTTCAATAGCCCTAGGCCAGGGACCGCGGACATTGAACGTGCCATTCAATGCTATCGGGCTTCAGGACTTGGAGGCATGAGGGCTTAGGGAAGGCAAAGATGTGTAGTTTCTGGGCAGTCTTGGTTCTTGTTATACAAACTATTTGTTTAAGTCTTCTAGTTCTCAAGGTTAACTCGCAAACAAAGCGGATTCTCGTTTGTTACACCTTGGTCCCCAATCCAACCTTGTAGATGCATAGGAAATTCTCAACTCTTGGACTCCTTGTTTTGCAGTATATGAATGCCTGGCCGAATGCTTTATCCATACGGCATCCAATAGGTATTCCATAGGGTACTCGAAAGAGTACTGAATAGGGTATATATATATACACATGAGTTGTATGACGGATGTCATATATATATATATACACACACACATATATATATATATATATATATATGGGGCATGCTATTAGCACTCTATACGGTATTCTGTGAGCGTTCGATCGGGTACTGTACAGGGCATCTTTGAGGGTGGTGTTGTTTAGGCATTCTACAGTTCATGAGGTATGTAGGGGGTATTGTATTCTCATATACGGCATCCTACAAGGTTGATAGAGTAGTAGGGTGTACATATACATATATATATATATGTGGTATTCTATGGGGTATTCTATCAGGTACTCTTGGGACTGTAGGGTATTCATAGGGAGAGAGAGAGCGAGAGAGAGAGAGAGCTGGAAGAGCTGAACTTCGTGCACCCCGCCGACGTGACCGCCTTGAACGAGGGAGCCGTGGAGACGCCCCCCCAAAGAGCGGGGACCAAGCAAGAACGGTTCGAGCAAGTGCTCCGAGACATGCGGGGATTACTCCCCTTCCTCACCACCGGGGGAGGGGAAGTACGAGCAGCCCTGGCCGCAGTGACTGCCAACCTGGAGCGACCGATCACCGTCGACACGCAGACTACCGAAGAGGGGGAGCACAACCAGCCGGTGCCGCTCTTCGCGCTCTTCGACGTCCCGCCTGGCCAAACGGGGGAAACACTGCTGGACCAAAGTGGGGGGACTGGGGAGGACACGGCTCTTTCTCAGCAAGCCACTGTCCCCTGGATCCCACCACTGCACATGGAACAGTGGAATGGCAGTGTGCCAAGCGACACAGATCGCCCAGAAGCAGAGCAAAGCCCACCGTCAGAAGGGGGACCAACCGATGAAGACCTAGTCGCCGTCATGGAGGAGCTGGAAAAACAAGAAGAAGAAGCACTACAGCTAGAACTGGCAGCAGCAGTGACGACCGATGAAAGGGGACCAGAACCTCCCGGGGGACAACCAGAAGACCTACTGAGGCAACGAAGCCACCGACGTAGACGTATGCATGCGGCGATGTATGATGAACACGGAGGCTTCTGGCACCCAGAACAGTAGACTCAGTAGTGCAGTAGAACTAATACAGTGCTGCTTCGTGTGTGCTTCGTGTTGCTATGGGGGAAGCCGAGCCTAAGCCGTGGTAGCACCAGTGCCAACCTCCACCCTGAAACCTAACTAGCCTATATCGCCGGGGCCTCAGCAGTGCTAGCAAGTGTTTTCAGTGTCACGTACAAAAGGGGGGCACGCCACATAACCAGGCAGCCTGCACTAGAGAGCCAACAGGGCAACCGGTGCTTTTGGGCGAAGTCTGACAGACCAGAACCCTCATGACGAGGCGCGAGGCCGGGGGTAAATAATAGGCGTTGTAATGGGGGTTATCGCCGGTGCAAGACAGAGCCTCGCGCCAACCGAGGGGAATAGTGTCACACAGAGACAGCTCCAGTGCGCACATGTGCGCAAGAGGGGGCGCGGACCGCTTCCTCTTCGGCTGCGTGCAAGCAAGAGAGAGAGAGAGAGAGAGAGAGATGATATTCAGCCAGCTTTTGCTCAAACGAGCGGGGGACGCTATCCAGGGCCCCGCGAGACTACAGTGGTGCCGAAAAGGCAGACAAGGCATAGAACTCATTATGATTCTCCGTCGTCTCGCTCGAGCTGCTCGTGACTGGAGGATGGAATTCTACATAGCAAAGCTGGATATACGAAAAGCTTTCGACTCCATCTACCAAGAAAGTCTTGCTGAACACGTCAGCTCTGTGGTCGGGGGAACCGCCAAACTCCCGTGGGAAGCAAGAGCATGGGTTGCCTTGCTGCATGCCCAGCAAATCACGATCCAAGTCGGTGGAGAAAGCATCCCAATCCAGCAAAGCAATGGATTGCGCCAGGGGGGGGGGGAGAGCCCCGTTGTCTTCGGATCCGTGGTTGCAGAAGACTTGGACGCAGCGATTCAGACGGCCCGCGAATCCAAACCTGCTGGAGAGACATCCCCCCCAGAGGATGGGGGAAGTTATATGGACGACAACTACATCTGGTCCACCAATCAACGGCACTTCCAACACATGCTCTCCTCGCTCGACAATCGACTGCCAAAGCGCGGACTCTACCTGCACCCTTGTAAAACAGATATCATCAGCACCTCAGATGTGGAGACCCACTTCCAGGTCGCTTGGGAAAACGTCCCCACCAAAGGGCTGAAGCATGTCTTCCACGTCCTGGGCAGCCCGGTATCCTTCCACGGGGGAACAGCGATGCTGCTCGCAGAAGCCCAGAGTCGAGCCTGCAAAGCTTTTTGGAGTCGCCGCGAGTCCTTTACCTCCGATGCCACTTTCCGCCAGAAGCTTCAAATCCATGTGGTGCTGGTACGCCAAAGTGCACTTTGGGCGTGCCAAACATGGCCATGCCACAGTAGCCTCCTGCGTGCTGTCAGCGTCATCCAGCTTGCTCATGTACGCATCATGCTAGGCTTGCGACGGCAGCCCTGTGAGGAATGGGCAACGTGGAACAAGAGGAGTCTCCGGTCGCAAATATGGACGGCGATCGGCCACATGTGCAGAGGCGACCCAGTCGGGGGAGCAATCTTCCAGTGGCACAGTTTGCAATGGTGGCAAGAGCAAAAGGACCGGGGGAACCAGATTAAGCATGCGGCGCGGTTCAATGCCTATATGGATATCGATCGTCAGCTCAGCGAGATTGCAGGCAGGGGCTGGTTCGCCATCGCACAAGACAGAGAGGCATGGGGCCAATTGGAGTCCGCCTTCTTCGAGAGATACGATGTGCCGTGGAGTAGTGGAAAACAGGGAAGCATAGCCAACCTAGCGCCTGCAGCACATGCCCCAGCAGAGCAGCAGTTCCTTGCAAGCATTCTCGACCAGAGGGGAACACCCCTTCGAGGCAATCAAGCCCACAAGACCCCCAAAACTCGCAAGCCCAAAAAGAGAACGATTGCGAGCAGAGGACACACATAGCAGCCTGCAACTCCCTTTTGCCATATGACGATTGACAAACACCCACTACCCTGACCCTCAGCCTGCGAATCACCTATACAGCAGTGACAGCAGGTGCGGGGGAAGAGAAGTGTTGGCAGGTCGATCTGCATGTGCATCCGGACAACAAGCCGCTTGACTACATTTGCATGCTCAAACATGTACCACTCGACACAACTACCTTACTGCTTTGCAACAACAAATATACTTTCAGTGACCGGCTCAAGCTAATCGCTGCTGAAGCAATCACACACAGATCTTGC